TGTTTATCATCCACAAATAGATAGTTTGGTGGAATGGCTTACTTAGTCCTTCAAAAGGATGATCACAAAGTATATAAATTTTTAACATTCAGATTGAGATGGTTATTTGCCATTTAGTATCCATATATTACAGAGATACAAAATTTTATAAGACTTTCTAAAAGGTTATCTAACTTAATACTACTCAAACCCAAGGATATTTAATCTCAATTATCCCAAACCCTTACCCAATTATAAAAGGGGGTGCACTTTTGTTCATGGGTCTTTTCCCTATATATTTGAACCTTTAGAGATCATTTCTTGAGTCATTTTCTTTACTTGCTTACAATTTACCATGCTTCTTTACAAGTTCACACCTTCATAAATAAAAGCTAAAAGTTACAGCTCTCTCAAGAGCTTCATTTGCTTGACACTCTACCCCCAGATTGAGCCTAGTTGGAGCAAATTTGATATGCCAAATGTTAATCTCAACATATAGTGTGATTCCCTTAGCCAACTAATAGAGTCAGACTCGAGATTGTTTTGATACCAAATGTAAAATTTTGAATTTAGACTTTTTGGGAGATCACTCAACACAATACTACTCAAACCCTATTCAATTAAGTACAAATACTAAACCAAGTTTTATAACATTTGGACAATAAAAGATTTTATTTGAAGAAACATTGTTCAAAGTAAGGACACTTAACCCAAGACCCTTACCTAATTAGAAAAGTGGTGCATTTTTGTTCATAGACCCTTTCTTTTTATATTTGAACCTTTATAAATTGAGCTTGATTGGCAGTTCCTATGACACATGGCTAGGGCTAAGTCATTCTTTTTGGTTTGCTTACATTTTCCACTTGTTTGAGTAAAGTTTGTTGAACACTTGGGCCATATACAAGTGGTACAATAATAGTGCTACAACTCCTATCATCGTCCATCTGTAGAGTACAAAGTGGATGACTTGATGTTAATTTATTTTCCTAATCTTACAATACATGGTTTATATAAGAGGCTCCTTGCTCAGTAGAAGGATCAAGTGTTGTGGCAAGTTGGACTGCAAGTTTATAAGGTTTAATATAATGTTTAATAGGCCAATCCTTAAAAAATTATGTATGTGCAGCAGTTGAAATACTTCATACAAAGAGATTAATATAAATGACTAAAATTTTCCATTCTACTTTAGTCACTTAACTATACCTTCAACCATTTGAAGGTGTCTCATTTACAACCTCCATAAGTCTTATTCCCAACTTAGAGACTTACTAGCCTCATAAATGGCTTTATGCCATTCTGCCATAGCATTTGGTCCAAGTGCTTTATGTGTTCAATCCTATGACAGACACCCAAAGGTACTATTAACATATTTGCTTGTTATACTAAAGTCATGTCCATTCCCCTTTAGGTCCACACAGGTAGTCTAAGACCACCTAGACCACAATCCCATCTCCCAAAAACTAAACTATCCATCCTTGAGTGGTCATCCTATGACCACACCTTAGCTGCCCAAAGACATGAAGAACACTTTTCCCCAATATCCTTTCTTTAGTCCCTATCAAGTCCCTCTTTGTCCCTATCAAGTCCTTTTTTGTCCCTGGCAATGTTTGCTAACACCACTATTGGGTTTGGGCCCGAATGCTTGACCACTAAGTCCCATTAACCTTTAGGACTTCTTTATCATACAACTGTATCCTTGGTCTCTACACAAGACAACTCCTCTTCTTTCTTTCCACACTGGGACCTTGGGATGACATTTCGAAACACTGTGGCCTTACACGAGCCTCATATGTACTCTCCCCACCTTCCGTCTTTGGGTGCCTTGGCCATATGGCTAAAGCGAGGTTCCGATGAGGCACACCAGGTATCCAAGTAAGTAGTGCCACCCATACTTGGATTGGGAGTATCGATTATTCAATCTTCCGGAAAAGCTAGAATTGACTCTTGAACACTTCACCAAGCTATCCCCTTTGTTTATTTATATTCACTTTAGCCTTGGACTCTTCAGTGGTTATTGTGAGACACAAAATCCTTAGGCCCCAAAGTAGAGCCAAAAAAGTGCCACATGGAAGTGGCCGAAGCGAAGGCCAAACGAGTGTAACTCATTTGGACCAAAAGCTCCAACTTGAAAAGTCGAGAGTGGGAGTGGAACTCTCAACAAAGTGCTCGAGGAACAAGCACGAAGCGAGCAATAAGCGAGTCTCTAAAAAGGGACTCAAAAGGACCAACACATGACTTGAGATGGAGTCCGAGATGGACTCGAGATGGAGTCTGAGATGGAGTGCGAGATGGACCTGAGATGGAGTCCGAGATGGAGTCCAAGATGGAACCGAGACTCAGACCAAGACCGAGTCCGAGTCCAAAACCAAGACTGAGACTAAGTCCGAATCCGAGTCCGAATACTAATACAGGCTGTTGGGTGAAAGCCCAAAGCAATCGTCCCCCAAGGGGGGCTGCAAGGGGTTCCAAAAGTATAGTAGGGAGAGTGTGGGGGTTGAAACCTAATAGAGCCAATTTGGCCAGGAAAGGTTAGTTTGGCCCAGAAAGGCCATATTTAGTGTTGGGTGATGAGCTGACCACTGGGAAATCCAAGACTAGAGTGAATACGGATCGACAAGTGGGGTAGTTTGGTGAAGTGTTCAAGAGCCGGCTCTAGTTCCTCCGGGAGATCGAATAGTCGATGCTCCCAATCCAAGTGTGGGTGGCACTACCTACTTGGATACCTAGTGTGGTGCAACGGAACCTCGCTCTAAGCCCATGGCTAAAGCACCCAAAGGTGGAAGGCATTGAGAGTACCCATGAGGCTCACATATAGCCACGGTGTTCCGAAATGTTGTCCTAAAAGCCCAGACTGTGGAAGGGAAGAGGAGTAGTCCTTTGGTGTAGTGACCAAAGATACAGTCGTGTGGTGAGGAAGTTTTAGAGGACCATGGGACTTAGTGGTCAGGCCTATGGGCCTCGATCCAATGGCAGTGTTGGCGAACACGACCATGGGCAGAAAGGGACTTGGTGAGGACCAGAAAGGAGATATTAAGGAAGGCTATTCCCCACGTCTGCGGGCATCCTAAGGATGCTAAGGAGTGAATCGGGGATGACCACTCATGAATGAATGGCCTAGTCTTTGAGAGATGGGATTGCAATGCAAGTGGTGTTGGACCATTGATGTGACCAAGGTGAATGGGCATAGCTTATTGTAACGGGCTGATATGTTGATGGTACCTTGGGGTGTCGATCATGGGATTGGACATGTGAAGCACTTGGACCAAGTGCAAAAGTTGAGTGGCATGGATGCTATTTTTGGGGTTAGCAAGTCCCTAATTCCAAAATAGGACTTATGGAGGTTGTAAGTGAGACTCATCCAAATGGTCGGAGATGTGGTTAAATGACTAAAGTAGAATGGAAAATTTAGTCGCTTACAGTTATATCATCACCTAACACGTAAATATAGCCTTTATTAATCACACTAGCCTTTCTTGGCCAAACTGACACCCCCTTTAGAGTTCACCAAACCCCAGAGGGTTTGAGAGATGAATGCTTTGGGCTTTTACCCTCGGACTCAGACTTGGTCTTGGTCTCGGTCTCAGTCTTGTTCTCGATCTTAGCTTTGGTTTTAGTTTTGGTCTTGGTCTCGGTCTTGGTCTCGGTCTCAGTTTTAGTCTTAGTCTCGATCTCAGTCTTGGCCTCGACCTTGAACTCTATTTTTGGTCCATCTCGGACTCAAGCTTAGACTCCATTTTAGGTCCATCTCAGACTCGACTTTGAACTCCATCTCGAGTCCATTTTAGGTCCATCTTGGTTCCATCTCAAACTCCATCTTGGATCTATATCAGACTCCATTTCAAACTCCATCTCAGGTTCATATTTGACTCTATCTCGAACTCCATCTTGAGTCTGTATTGGACTCCATCTTGGATTCCATCTTGAGTCTATATCGGACTCCATCTTTAACTCCATCTCAAACTCCTTCTCAAACTTGTTTTTAACACTTTTATATGTCATGACATTTGCCATGTGTCAGTCCTTGTGCCCTTTTATAAAGACTCATTCACCAACTGCTTCATGTTCATCCCTCGAGCACTTCATTTTGACTTCTACTCCCACTCTTGATTTTCCAATTCAAAGCCTTAGATCCAAATATATTGTACTTGTTAGACTTTTACTTTGACCACTATTATGTGGCACCCTTTCTACTCCACTTTGGGGTTTAGGGATTTGTGTCTCAAAATCATGAATAATTAACACCATCTACAAATCCATTAATGCTTCTTTTTGATGTTTTTTCAAATCCCAGTATATCCATTAAAGGACTTTAATTGTCTTCCATCCTTTCGAGAGGAGGGGATGATGCAAAGTCTAAATATACAATTATAATGCTATATACTAATATTAGCATAGTGAGATTTTAATAGCTGTCAGATTAGTTTTAATTTAGATTTGCTCCTATATATAAATTAGGATTTTTTGGCTAATTGATACTCATATTTTTATATTCCTTTTCCATATTCTATACACTTATATATCTATATTTTGTTTTGCATCATCAAGTTTTAAATTTTTATATTTCAAATCTTTCTAAATTTTAAACATTATAAATAATATAGTTACTATTAAATACTATATTTTTATATAATTTTTTCAATATAATTTTAAATATTATTTAGGTTTAGCCAGAGTCTTTTTGTTGGCCATCTATGTAAAGTTGATCTAATATGGTATATTCTAATTTAACATTTATTTTAAAATTAAATGTTTTATTTTCAGAACTTATTTCATTTAAATTTTAGTTCAATCTTAATCATAACCTGCAATAAATTTTTATAAATAATATATTGTAAAAATTTGGTAATAAAAATGTAACTTTTTTATTTTAAATTATATATATAATTCTAAATTATAAAACAAAAATATATTATAAGAAATGTGAAACTTAAGGTCGTGGGATCGAAACCTGTCTCAGCCAATTTATATCTCGATGGTATATTCTTTGTAATATCTTATCGGGAAATCGCCTAAGACATCATAGGCTGTGTGTGAGTACGTGCGTGTGTATGGCGAACGTATGAGTGTGGATTCTAGGGTTTCTCCAAATCGACTGGGATTTGAGGATTCCTTCCGCGGCCTTAGGGCTCCAGGAGCGCAGCGCTTTGGCGCATGGCGGCCGTGGCGCAGGCTCCCTCCAGCTCCAGCAGGGGCATCGGCGTCGGGAGCACGGCGGGATTTGGCATCGGCGCACAGCATTTCCAGCGATCGTCGTCGGCAGCCGGCGCTCCCAAAGGTAGCAGCAGCACGGGTCTGGTTTGCTCCCACAAGGGGCATTTGTCGCCCTTGTGCGAGTCGCCGCGGCAGCATGCTAGGGTATGGCCTCGGAGTGGGAGATTTCTGGGCGATGGGGTGAATTGCCGCTGCAAGAGCGAGGATTTCGATGAACAGCAGCCTTCTTCTACTGGGGATGGCGAGGCGGCAAATGCCGATGCATGGGACAGGAGGATTGAGTCTGCTCTAGCGGGGATCAGAGCCCCGCTGCTGAGCATGCTTAGCATCGCTGGGAAGAAGTTCCAGCAGTATTTATTGAAGCCGCGAAGCCTCACAGCTTTGGAGGTTGTGGAAGACGTCCAACTTGTCAAGGAGGAGACCGAATGGGATCGTTGGCAGTCGTTCTTCCACGAGGTTGAGGAGCAGGAAAATCTTTTGTCTGTACTAAAGGTACGTTTTGTTCGTTTTGTTCTTTTCCTTTTTTTTCTTGTTTCTTATCGTAACAATTGTCGTTCATGCAGTTTGATTTGGAGGAAGCAGTCGAAGAGGAAGATTACAGTGAAGCTACTAGGATAAGAAACGAAATGCTAGATATTAGACGGAGGGACACTCTTGGCCAACTCATGGGTGATTTGAAGGTAGAAGCCGTTTCGTTTCTTCAATTTACTTAAACGGGGTTTTTACGATCCAGACTGCGTTGGAAGAAGAACGCTACGAGGATGCGGCTAGAATTCGGGATGAAACTGATGCTGGACTGGTTTGTAGTTTCCCTCTTTTGTTTTTTGTTTTTCTTGTGTTACAAATGAGGAAATGCTTGTAGGTGGGATGGTGGGCTGGAGCGGCAGAAGAGGGTAACGATCCATTTGGCCGCATTATCAATATCACTTCTTCGCAAGGGAGGCTTGTTGCTAGGGGTTACAGTGCTAGGTAAAGACTCATGCTCACTTTACTAGACTCATTTGTAGTTCAGGCAGCTTGTGACAGCAGCGCCGGGCGTGCCTCTCTTTGAAGTGTTCTTCAAGAAGGATGATGACAATGGTTACCAAAGCCAGGTACTACTTTTGTAGCGTTTATCTCAACTTCGCTGACGCATCGTTTTATCCCAGGCTGTATATCTGCAACGAGAAAGGACTGGGGCCGACACGACAGCAACTGGATCTGAAAACAGCGGTGAGAAGAATGAAGATGGCGAAGGGGATGACAAGGTGTCAGACGATCTCAAGTCAGATGAAAAAGACTCTCTCGACGAGGGCCTGAACAGGATTCTTGCTTTTCTGAAAGGAAGAATGCCGGATGTGAAGCTTCGAGTCTTTCAAGCCACGGAGCCGGATAAAGTAGAGAAAGACTTGCCCAAGATTGGCGATCAGCTCAAATCGTCAGAGGACAACAAAAAAGAAGAGGAACTGGGATCTTCAGACGATGGGAAAGCCCCTTTGGAAAACCAGCTACAGGAGAAGCAAGGCAAGAATGCAGTGACCGCAGAAGAGCTTGTTGAGATGAGCGTCAGATTGCTCATCGGGCGGCTCATGCAAAATGTTCCAGAAGACAAAGTACCGGTTCTTCCAGTGAGGATACCCGCGAAGATCGTGAACAAGGAGAGAGACAGTTTCGTCTTTCACATCGAAGACCTTTTGGAAGAGAAGATCTCTACGACTGACGCGATGTCGTCTTGGAGACTTGCCGTAACAGCGCAGCCGTCCGAGTTGACATCCGAGCATGCCAGCAAGGTGTTGTCTCAAGCCTTGCCAGTGAAGGTGACTTTGCTCTCGTTTTCTAACAGCTTCCAGCATCCTAACGCAGGTTTTTTGCTCTCTAGGTGTCTAAGGAAGTGGCAGACATTATCCGGCTTGCTGTCAATTACGCACAACGCCGGCGTGGTCTAGCTAAAACCACAGCTTTCCAGCGCATCCGCCTAGCAAAGTCTACTGCCGACCCTTTCAACGCGTTGTATGTCGGCACTTTGGCACCTTACAGCTCCCAGGTGATTCAACTCAGACAGAAATACGGGAATTGGCAAGAGGATGACAAGAGCAACATCGACAGCGACAAATTCGAGTTCACCGAGTACGTGGAGGCGGTGAAACTGGTGGGAGATCTTCACGTTCCAGCCGGACAGGTACGTTGTTTTCTTCATCTCCTTTTTCTTAACTTTAATCACTTCAAAATCGTGTAGGTGATCTTCCGAGCTAAGACTGGTAGAGGTTCTCGGCTTCCACATCGTGGCGTGTACCCCGACGAGCTTGGAGTGGTCAGTTTTGCGTAGTTCCAATCTCATCGATGTTTCTAAGACCCGCTACTGCTACTCAGGTGGCCAGATTCAAAGGCCGGGGGAAAGTGGCCGAGCCAGGCTTCAAGAACCCGCATTGGATCGATGGCGAGTTGCTACTCTTGGATGGAAAGGTAAAGCAAGCAGAGCTGTTGCAAGTAAATCATGTTTCATGTCGTTCTTGCAGCAGGGCGTTGGTTTCTTGAATGGAGCTCAGCTGTGCTTTGTCTACTCGGTTCCAGGCCAGCCTTTTCTCATCCTGTTCAGGAGAGCTATGATCGAAGAGAACAGCTTGTGAAAGAGAGGAGAAAGCTGCAGTTTTGAAAATGATCCTTGTATTTAAAAGGCACTTTCATCACCTATTTGTTTTTGTCAATGCTGGATCATCCAATACACATCTTTGATGGTCTCTCTTACATTTGGACAACTAGTATAAGAAAACAAAAATCATACCAGGCTAGGAACAAAGCTTGAAACATTGGACCACCAGCATTTAGAGTTGAAATGATCCTTGTATTTAATGGAAGAGCTTTCTGCTGGTCCATTTGGATTAAAAAAACTAGCATAAGAACTTGTGTGTAAGATATAAAAAATCCATACCACGCTAGGAACAAAGCTTGAAACATTGGACCACATCTCTGCAAACTTCCACCAGCATCTGGTTGTCTTCGTGCTCCAAATCGCCTTCCAACTCGGCGATTTTACTCGATGCCCGCTCCACGAGACCATCGGCCAGCGCCGGATTTTCAGCTTCCATCACCAGCTCCAACAGATGCCTGGAACCGCTACAAACCAAATCAGTCCGTGCGAAGAAAGCCGACAAGTTACTCACCGCCCGGGGCTCTTCGAAACGCTGGTCGAGAGATCAATGCCCGCATCAGGCCACTGCCAGCAGCAACTCCTCACCGAAAACTCCACGATGTAGCTCCAGCAAACGGCCAAACAGTGGCCGGGAGGTTGCGTCAAGTGTACCAGAACCAAGTCTCCAACCGCGGCTCTCAGCCGGTCCCGATCGCTTAAAGCCGCGGAAGGATTCGGTTTGCCATCACCCAGCACCAACCGATGGAGCAACAGCAGGCGAGGAGTGACCGCTTTGGTTTTGCGAACGATCATCTCGCGAATACCCCTGTCTCCTGCCGTGGCGATGGCGCTTACCTTGAACAAACTCTGGACTGCCTGCCCTTCCAGCTTAGAGTCCAGCTGAAGCAATGGTTCGACCAAAGGATCCACCACGAAGTCCTCCACGGCCCCCGGCTTGCGTCGAGCAATGGCACACACCATTGCAATGGACGTGTGATACATGTTGCTGACTGCTCGAGCGGCCGACTCGCCAGCATCACTGGAACTCGTCGTTGGCAGGGAGATGATCTCGAGAACTTGCGAGCAAACGCTGCTGTAGTACTTGTCGGGATCGCCGACGAACTTTGGACACTTTGCAAGGTGAGTGGCTACTCTCTTCTGGACGGAGACGTCACCCTGGAAGCTTTTGATCAAGGCTTTGCATCGATCGGGACTTGAGAAGTAGTAATACCTGTGCTGCATTGCCGACCAGCCTTTCCAGCACCGCCGCTACGCCACCTTGACGCATAACAAGCCTGGAAAGAATTTTTCCTGCGTGAGCCTCCAGCCATGGCGGTGGAGAGTTCTCTTTGGCCAGCAAGATCATCAGAGCCTCGACTGCATGAGCCACTGGTAAAGCCTCGACGAGAGTATGGATCTTTCCAGACGTCGCAGCTTCGTCGTCACTGTTGTGACTTAACTGGAAAATCCCTGCCCACAAATCTGGAAGATGGTGCGAGAGAACGATCTCTCGCAGCTCACCGCCCTCTGAATCCACCACAAGCTCCCAAAGAAGCTCCACGGATTTGTCCAATGCATCGAAACCTTCTTCAAGTTCTTTGATCTCGTCTTCCCTGTGCGGATCGATCTCGGACGCTGCTGCCGCGGCGCCAGCGATCGCGGAAGGATTTCTAAACCTCTTCCGGAGAGGAATCCCAACGCCGGGACTCAAATGCGGGTACACGCACCGCCGGACTAGAATTTCCATCACGGCCATCACTGCTTGACGATCCCCACCCCCAAGACTGGAATGCCGCAGCCTACGAACAAAATCTAGAGCTTGCCTCGGATCGACACACTCGCCCGACGAAGAGATTGGAAGGCGCTGCCACTGGCGCCCATCGCCCGCCATGGAAGGAAATGGAAGAGCCCTAAAACCCTAAACCCTAGTTGTTAGTCGGCACAAATCTGGCGGGACCCAACACGGTTGAGATGTCCCAAACGGACGGCTGCGATTAGCGGGATTTGTAATTTAAACGCCGACACCTTACCGCACAGAAAGTTCTACCCACCGGCCACATCGTGGCGGAAACCGCCAGGTGCCAGTACCTCCACGTTGCCCCGCCGTGGTGACCGGTGGCCCCGGGCACCCTCTCTCTGGTGAACGCGGCCAAGGAGAGAAAAGAGAGAATGCCTGGCATTGATCGCGGCCTTCCCGGTCCTAGGCGCCACCGATCGATTGATCCGCGCAGCAATCCACACATCCCTTTCCTCTGGCGAGCGCGCTCTCCTCCTACTCCTCCCAATTCTCCGCGGCTGATCGATTGATGCCGCCATTGTGCGCCAGGCATCTGCGAGCGCCGAGATCGATCGCGAAATATCGGGTAAGAGCACAGAATCCGCAAGAATCCAGTGGTCGTCGAGCACAGTGGCTACCTCGCGATATTTAGGGTTCTTGAATCCGCGAGGAGGACCAAGGATGGAATGCAGGAGGAGCTGGTAAATCATGTGCGCACGCGGCGATCTCAGCAGCACACGAGGAAGAAGATCATGAAATCCGGCAGCGCCGCCGCCGGTGGTGTCCTCCATCCAGTCCTGCGGAGATCCCTCACCAACGCCGCCTCCACTCCGCGCAAGAGCAGCGGCAGCAGCAGCCCGGAGCGCGGCGGCGGCGGCGGCGTTCTCATCGGCCCGGGGCCGCTCATCCGCCTCTGCCTCCACGCCGTGGCCTGCATTGCCAGCCTCGTCATCGGCTTTCGATTCTCGCGCGAGACGCTGCTGGTGCTCGTCATCAAGCAGCCCGGGCTCGCGATTCTCAAGGCGCCACAGCAGCATCTCCAGCAGCAGCCCCGCGAGCTCATCGACGTGGGGATTAAATTCCCATATGTGGAGCCCGGCCTTGGAGTCCGAGATGGAGTCCAAGATGGCGGAGGTCGGCTACCCGAGGTGAGGACCAAGAGCGGCCGCGTTCACGTTGGTCGCCACGAGATTCTCATCCGGCCATGGCCACACCCCGACTCCGCGGAGATTTACCGAGCCCACGCGCTGCTGGAGAGGGTCCAGGTGGAGCAGCAGAGCTTGTATGGGCCCAAGGAGAGGAAGACGGTGATAGCGATCACACCAACTTTCGCCAGGACTTTCCAGGCGATCCATCTCTTGGGTGTCATGCACACGCTGCGAGCGGCTCCTGGGCCGGTGATCTGGATTGTTGTCGAGGCTGGCGGGCGATCGAACGAGACGGCTTCTATTCTCGCTTCCTCGAGGCTGGAGTTTGTGCACCTGGGGGTGAAGGACGCGATGCCTGTGGCTTGGGAGCAGCGGCGGAGAATGGAGACGAGGCTCCGGATCGAAGGATTGAGGTACTTTTTCTCTCCACCTTTTTTTTTCTTTCGTAAGCATTTTTTTCTTTGCCTCATTTTCATCTTCTTCTTCTTCATGTGCATTATTCGTCTTTGTGCTGAGGTTTACGTGACAATTTTTGTTGTTCTTGCTCTGCTCGAGACAAATTCCTTCTTCATGTGCATTGATCTTTGAGTAAGTCGTTCGTGTTCGTGCTTGAATTTCTCGAGAGTTCTTCCATGTGCATTAAGTTTTTATTTTTATTGTCTTGTCCCACAACTGCTGAGAATGAAATGCTTCCTGCTTGGCGTAAGTGACAAGCAACAGTGAGCCCGAGTGGGTATAATGCAGCCGTGAGTCGTTGCTGTTGCTTCAAGGTCGTAGGTCATTGATTGATCGACACAGAACGATTATTTGGTGCACTGGAGTGCTTTTCCACGTGAGTTTGTGTGTCATTTTCCCCGAACATCCATCCGATCATTCTTAAGCACTGCTGACTAAACAGATCCTAACACTCTTTTCACTCGGCTTGCTTTTTGTTTCCTTTCCCGCAGTCACGTGAGACGCGAGAAGCTCGACGGCCTGATCCTGTTCGCCGACGACAGTAACGTGCACAGCCTCCAGCTCTTTGACGAAATCCAAAAGGTGAAATGGATCGGAGCTTTGTCAGTTGGACTTTTAGAAACCGGGTCAGGAGCAACGGAGACGGCGAGCTCGATGGTAGCAGCAGCATCATCCGCAAAACCGAGATTGCCAGTCCAAGGCCCGGCTTGCAACGAAACATGTCACGTAGTTGGCTGGCACGTACTCCGGCCGTCTCCAGTCGATGGAGAGGACGACTCCTCCTCGTCCTCGTTCACGGACGTTGCCGGGGGCCTGACGGACGTGGCAACGCACCTCGAGTGGTCGGGCTTTGTCATCAACTCGAGAGCAGTGTGGGACGAGGCTGAGAGCGAGAACGAGGAGGAAGAAGCATCATCATCAACGATGGAAGACGAGCAACAAGAAGAAGACGCAACAAGGAGGAAGCCCGAGTGGATCAACGAGTGGAAGGAATGGATAAGCGAGGACAGTGGAAGCCCGCTGAGGCTAGCGAAGGACCAGGGATTCATCGAGGCTCTCGGCAACTGCGGGCGAGAGGTGATGCTGTGGTGGATCCGGGTGGAAGCCCGAGCCGATAGCCGATATCCTCCCAGGCAAGTTGCTCTATGCCCGACTCGGGGATACCATATATACCAGCTAACGCGTTTACCACACAGGTGGTCTTTAACTTCGCCACTGGAGATCACTGTCCCGGCACAGCGCACGCCATGGCCCGAGTTTGTGGAGACTGAATCCACAGGAGGCGCGGGATCGGCGAGCCGGAAGATGGATCCGTCAGAGAAGCGTGCTCGATCCAAGGCTGCGCGTCGAGCCAAGAGACAAAGAGACTCCAAAGTAGGAGTCGATGGTGATGGTGGTGGTGGTGGCGGTGGCGGCAGTGGTGGCGGCGGTCATCAGAAACTTTCATAAAGTAATAAAAAACGAGGTACCGTGTCTCTTTCTCTCTCACATTCTTTTGTACTATCGCGTAATAAGCGGAGACCGCCACCAAGGTTTTGCTTTTCTTCTCTTTTTTTGTCTTTTGTTTTGTTTTGTTCTTCCAGTCATCTTCCAGTCAGTGTATATAAAAGAAAAATCTTAGAAATCTCTGTTCTTCCACCAGCTGGAGAAGCTAGCTATCTTCTTTTACAAAAACGCTTTGATTCTCTCTATAATCTTCCACCAGCTGGAGAGAGAACACAGGGACACACACATCTCCTCTCTTTGGAGTTTTCCTCCTTGTTTTGTTCTTCCGTCAGCAGCTAGAGATAGATAGAGCGATGATCGTCGGTAGATCCTTCAAGATGGAAAAGAAAACCGGCAATCTCTGTTCTTCCATCGATCGATTAACTCGGAATGGTTGTCTTGTCTCATCTCGTTCTCGCTGGAGCTGCCAAGTGATTTCCCAGTCTCTCTCCTTCCTCCATACCAAACGACAAGACTAGTACCGCCGAGCCATCCCCACTTTCCTCTCAATTCCTCCATCTTTCTTTCCCTCGAGGGATCTAAAAACCATCTCACTCTTTGTCAATTCTCTCCTCTCATTCCTCCTCTCTCTTCCCCAAATCCAAACAATCACGCCTCCTCTTTCTTTCCTCCCAAGATCCAAAACCATCACTCTCCCTGTCTCCCTCTGGCCTGCTACTAAATGCCGGGAATCGCTACGCGCATTAAGTCTCTAAAAGTTGACCCACCTCCTCTTTCGTTTTGAGGCGCCACTGCTTTTGCCGCTTGCCAGTCCCCTTCTTCATCCACTTGCCACCTTTAGAAAACCCAATCCAAACACACGATTAATCACCAAAACCGGGAAAAGGCTCGACAAAGCTCTTACCACCACAAAACAAGTCATCGCCGCCCTCTACATTTACACTCTCGCGGTGGAGAGAATATAAACGATGGCCGCTTTTGCCGCCTCTCATCCTGTTAAAAACACGTACACAGCTCCCAGAGTATACTCATACCGGAAGCTACGAATCCTGCGTGTCGGCCAGGATCGTCAGCCTCCTCACCGACTTCACAAAATTCCTGCGTCGGACCAAAAGCCACGAGGCACAGATGAGCACAAGCTATGAAAAATGGAAAGCATCCAAAGCTTACGCGTAAGGCTCGCCGCCAGTGTGAATCGTGGATCCCTCCGAGTCCTTGTAGACAACACGGCCGGAGATCTTCGCCACGTCGACGCAAAACACCGCGGCCAGCTGCTTGTAGAGCTCGTCGTAGGAGCCAAACGACGACAAGTCGAGCGTCCGCTTAACGTCCCCGCTCTCCATAAACACCCTGCACTGCGATGATTCCTCGTCGCTGCTGCTGCCTTCGAGCCTGTCCTTCTTCTCCGACGATAAAACGCTGGCTTGCTTCTTTAACCACTTCGAGCCGCCAACGTCACCCCCGTGCCCAGAGTCCCCGTTCTCGTGCAGAAGAACGTTTTGCTGGACAGCGTCGTTATGGCTATCCCCCGACGAGCTCGCGCTGGGCTGCTGAGAAGGCACGTTGTGCCTAGACGTTGCCTCGGAGGAGCTCCCAGCCGAGTTTTGCTGCTCTTGCACTCTCGCCGTCTCGATCTTCTTCCCAAATAGCAAAAATGTCCCCTGCTTGTTGCAGGAGCTCTCTGTGCAGCTGACACCCGAATCGTTCTGAGAGCCGTTGCATAGCACCGTTGTTACAAGAGTCCGCTGCTCTCCACCACCGCTACCTCCTTGCGGAAACACGTTGCCTAGTCTAAGATCTGTAGCACCATAACCCAGCGTGGCTGCAACAGGGATGTCCTGGGCTTGGTACCTGTTCTCCAACAAGCCAGAGTGAATTCGATTCGGCTGACACTCCGAGAATGTGAGCCCGTAAAGCCTCTCATGCCTGGCTCCCTGCATGCCTGCAGGAACATCATCTGAAAGACCATGCCAAGGATTTGCCTGCCCCAAGACACCGTTGGCAAATGTTGTCGTCGGCAATCCCGAAAAGCTTTGACCCTCGGGTGCGGGGGTCTGCCGAAACCTCTTCCGCGGCAGTGAAAACGGTGGAAGCTGCATGGGCAGAGTTGACACCAGCTCCACTTGCCACGGGCTTACACGACTCACGCCTTGCAGAAGATCAGGCTCGTCCCAAGCCACCTGTATCATCCGGATGAAGTTAAAATCGATAACGAAACAAAAACAAAAAAAGACTGAACAGTACCTGAAGTACACGCCACGGCGAGCTCGGCCAGAGTATTGGATCCGCGGCTTGAACAGCAGATATAGTCCCCATGAACCAGCTGATTCGTGAAGAGTCTTCGGTCTCAAACGCCATCTTGAACCTCATTCCAGCGTACCATCCGTGACTCAGAGCCGCCCTCACAGTTTGAGCCCGGACACAAAACTCCGCCGTGCTAGCTCTCGGATAGTAGACAACCTCGAACGCCTTGCCGGATGCCGCAAGCGTGGCCGCGTCCAGGACCGACTTAGCTGTGACTTTGGCCCGGTTCCGAGTAAAACTTCCACCACCATTACCAGCACCACCGCCAGCAGATCTCGAGGATCCATTCTCTCTCATCAGAGTCCCGTCCGAGAGACCAGTGTCCATCGGTGGCCGCAATTCCCAGCGAGAACTCGAGCGGCTGCTGGCCGAGTGCCACAGCAAAGCATCCGCATTTCCGCTGCCGCCACCCCTCATCGAGCGACGAACACCCACGCAGAGCTCCCCGGAATTGGATCGTAGAAAGACAATCGCGTCCCCGGCAACAAGCTTCTTGTGGTTGACGAAAGTACTCCACCCAGTGGTGAGGAGATGGCGTCGAGGAGTACCCCTGTAAATGTGCCGGAACTTCCACACCTCGCCATGGACGTCCTTGGCGAGCACGGTCTGGACAGGGGGATCCACCGAGTAGTCTAGTCGGGGAAAGATCGTCTCGGCACAGTAGCGGGGGACCGAGAAGCCGCCGCCGTTGTTGGCATCGCTCTGGGTGAGAGTCTTGGCGAAAGAAGCCGGCTTCTCTGGCGATGGCGATGGCGCTGCTGCTCGATCGTTGTCCTCGTCGCTGCCGCTCTCGGGATGTAGTCTCAAGCTCGCGAACACCTCGTCCGTCTCCTTGTCCGCCAAGAACTTGACCGAGAGAACCCGGCATGGAACCGTGCCGGCGGGGCCGAGCGCGCGAGGAAAATCTGGCGACGACGCCGCTTGCTCGGCGTGGCCTTGCGGAAAATAGATGATCTTGGAGCCGACGGTCGGGAGCTGGACCATGCTTCCGGCGCACGCCTGCCATAGCTGCTGATCCAGATGCTTCTCCTCTCCACCTTCTCGGATTTCTTCACGATCTCGTGTTCCTCGACCTTTCCCCAGATCGCTGGCATCCCGGCTGCTCATCGGCCCCGGGCTCTGTCCCGGCATTCTACCGCCGGGAGACCGGAATGCTGCGGTAGGGCTCCAAATATTGCCGGAGATCGCCACAATCGCCAAATTCCCCTCGATCGCAGCCTGCACGCCGGAAATTCCTCAGTGAAATCTCGCGATTCCAATGCCGCTGGAAAGAAGCGCGCAAGAACAAGAAGGAGAATCCCCTTTACCGGTAATGCAGCTGCCGCCTTGGTCGCGGGGAGCTCCGCTTGGCGCCAACGCTCGCGCCTCGCTCAAACCCTAAAATCCCACCAAGAGCCAGCCCGCCGGCTCCATAGCCACGAACACTCTGACAAAGAAAGAAAGAAAGGGGGAAGGAGCTTGCAGTGTTAGAGGAAGGGGAGGTGTACCGGCGCCACCGGTTGCCGTGCGTGGCGACCGGCTGGTGGCGGTGGCTAAGCGGTCTGGTCCGAATGTCCAACAAAAGTAGGACGAGGACGAATATGCCGATCGCTGATGCTAATTATAATTGCACGACAAGTATCTCTGTGCATCGCATTAGTCTAAGTGCCTCTTAATTTAATCGCGATTCGCGAGATAAGAAGAGAGAGGCGCATCACAAGTGCGCGCTTAGCTTTGCCCGCTTTGTTGGCTTGTTCTTTTTTTGCTTTGCGTTTGCATGGCTCCACCACCTTTCTTTTACTCGCGAACATTGATACTTATGTCGTGTTGGACCTCACCTATGGCATGATTTGTTGCGGCTCCAGTCTGGGAATATAGAGCTTTTTTACAATTTTTATATGGTGTGTGTTGTGACAATGATCCTTGCCAAGAGATTTTTATATAATACTGTGGATAAACCTTGGATTACTCAAATCAAACACAGTTCCAGCCCAATCCCATCCAAGCTTTGCTTCTTTTGATAAAGTGGTCTGTGTTTGTGGGTGTGTGCCCGTCCATCCATCGTCCCGGGAAGTGTGCGACGATGTTGACACACTAAACAAACGCAAAGATTCGATGATTGACCGGTTAAAGTTACAAAGTCAAAACTCGAGGTAAGAAAAAAATGGCGGTGAAAGTAAAGAACATATATTCTTCTTGATAACAATAGTTATCTCCTCGTATTCTAGGGACCTGGTTTCACGTGCGACACGTGGCACAATGTGGAGCGGCCAAGGCGTCACACGTGGACCCATGGGATCGCGCCGACACGTGGCGAAAATGCGACACTGTGTCCGCCGGTTTTTGGGACACACAAAGAAAGAAAATGCGCCATTGGAATTGATTGGCGCTTCTAAAAGCTTCCACTGTGAAAGTTCTTGGAGAGGACGAGGAGGACTAAATAGTAGGAGCCCTAATTTCTGGGCGCGAGCAAAAATATTTCGAGCGATTAGAAAGGGCGATCGATCGATCGGGGCGCGCGATTCGCGATCGTATGAGCGTGATCGATTGCGGCGTGGCGAGGGATGATCACGGTGATGCATGATTTTGTGGCAATGCTCGTCAACGGGGCGGGTGATGTTTCCAGCAGCGCCAGGTCGTGGAGCGCGGCGGGGGCGCTGCTCGTCCTCCTCTGGATTGCGCTGGCGACGCTGCTGCCGCCGATCCTGAGGAGGATTGAGAGCGATTCGTCGGCGCGGCAGGATGGGAGGAGCGACCGGCTCCAGCGCAATCTGGATTGGGCGACGGAGCGTAGGAAGATTTTTGCCGACTATGAGAAAGTGAGGAGGAGCTTGAATATCGCTGTAAGTTTCCTTTCTTTATTCTTTCTCCTTGGTTCACGATTGGAGCTTTGGCCAGGGACCCTCCACGGGAGTAGTGGCAACAGAAGTAAGTGGAAATTTGTTCTAGATTCTCGTCCGTGGCCACGATTTCTCATAGTCAACGTTTGTGTTCTTCAGGAGTTTAAGGTGAATTCTCGAGGTGTTGAGCTTTTTACAAAGAGCTGGTTGCCGGAATCTGGCCAACCCAAGGGACTGATCTTCTATTGCCATGGATACGGTGATACTATCTCTTTCTTCTTCGAAGGTATGTTTGATCGATTTAGTCGCGAAGACTCATGAGAAGCTCATTGGTCATTGTAGGAATTGCGAGAAGGCTCGCTCGAGCTCAATACGCGGTGTTTGGAATGGACTACGAGGGATTCGGTCTCTCGTCTGGCCTACACGGCTACATCGAAAGCTTTGATGTTCTCGTTGATGATGTAATCGAGCATTACTCGTCCATCCGAGGTAGGAGCTTCTTTTCTCGAAGCTTTTTGTGGTCTACTTGGTAGCCAAGGCTTTTCTAGATTTTGACTCTTGTTCACATGGCAGAACGAAAGGAGTTCACAGGACTTCCATGCTTTTTGTTTGGTGAATCCATGGGAGGAGCCATAGCCATCAAAGCACATCTCAAGCAGCCGAAAGTCTGGGATGGAGCAGTCCTGGTCGCTCCAATGTGCAAGGCAAGTCAACATGTTTGTTCTTCTCGTTGTAGTAACAGCTTTCGACTTGACGTCCAAGTTTTCTCCTCGCAGATTGCGGACGACATGTATCCTCCGTGGATTCTGGTGCAGATTTTAAAGGCTCTCGTTCCGGTTTTCCCGAAGTCAAAGCTACTGCCCACGCGAGACCTTGCTGCCTATGCCTTCAAAGACCCGGAGAAACGCAAGAAGGTACTCCTATTTTCACGTCTTTGAATCTTACTTTGTGACCTTGGAAAAAAAAAACATCACAGGCATACTACAACGTCGTTGGCTACGTCGATAGGCCGCGCCTTAGAACAGCTTGGGAGTTGCTTGTGACGACACAGGAGATCGAATCGAGCATGAGACAAGTAAGCTTACAATTGCGATATCGCTCTCTCTCCCTCTCTCTCTCTCTCTCTCTCTCTCTCTCTCTCTCTCTTCTGGCCAAGATCATTGATTAACAGGCTTCGTGTCGATTTCTTCCGTGAATGGCAGGTGTCTCTACCGCTGCTCATATTGCACGGTGGTGCCGACAAAGTCACGGATCCATCGGTGAGCAAAGCTTTGTATGACAACGCTAGCAGCACGGACAAGAGGCTCTATCTCTACGAGGGGGTCTATCACGGCATTTTGGAAGGCGAGCCCGACGATACCATCGACAGAGTTTTGGCGGATATTTGCTCGTGGCTTGATCTCCACTCCAAACAAAACTAATGCAAAGAATTGATCTTGTCAATACAAACATCTTTGATACATTTTGATCTTGTGGTACATTCTTTCTTCTTTTTTTCTTTTTTCTTTTTGCATGTTTTAAATCCTGTTGCGTGGTATGAGATTGCGCTAAAGTACTTGTATTTCGACTCCACCACCACCTCAAACACTACTTGAGAGTGTTGAGGTATGGCAATGGTTCCAGATCGGGATTGCGAAGGAAGATCTCGAATCGCTCCATATCTATCTCTCCGTGATCGTTGATCAAGAAGACCCTCACTAAAAGTCTTGTTGTAAACCTCCAGCTAACGGATCCCTCCCTTTCAAATGTCGAGGAAACTATTCCCAAGGAGGAAGCAAAGGAAAACAAAGTCCCTCATCGCGAAGATCAGTCCCTTGGACCATGCTTCTCTCATCTCCCTCTGGAAGTCCTCCACGTTAGCCATCTTTCCGTTTGCCTGAGAACGTTGATCTTCTTTGAGGCCACACTTTCCAACGCCAGCATGCCTAAATCTGCGTCGCGACCAACGATCCACAGTGGTAGTCTCACTTGTCAAAGCCCATGGTCCTCCGTCCCAATCCTCGTTGGTTCGCGAGAGAATCCAGGTTTTATGAGTATACCAACTTATATCTATATCTCACTGACACTTCATTGGTCTTTGAATGGTATTGGAGACCATCATAAGTAGTTAAAATGACTTATATTTTCTTACCATCAATAACTACTTTATTCAGATTAATTTTAGTTTCAAAATTTTCATTTAAAAAAGACAAATTTTCGAAAATAAAAATATATTTTAAGTTTAAATTATCATTTTAATAAAAATGAGTATTTTTTGTATTCATTTGAGTTATTAAAGAATGTGCTTGAAAGTTAAAATTATATAAAATATTTTTAATACTGATTTTGAAATATAAATCATTTCACAATGATAAATAAAAATTATATAACATTTCATTTTTTGCACAAATACATCTAGAATAAATCTCTAAGAAAACTATAAAAACCTTTAAGTATATCTAGAAAGAACTTTTACATATCTATAACTTATGTTATAGATATGTAACTATATGTATAACTTAAATCACTTCATACAAATTCTTTATTATAATACTTTTTACAAATTACTCTGCAATTTGTTGCAGTGCAACTTAAATAGATAAACCACTATTAATAGTTGAATATAAAGCTCTACTAATTCCCATTGAAGAAATATAGGTTTGAAATTACAATATTTCTTGACAAAGAATGTCAAAATAATATTAATTATATTTTTATATACATTTTTTCCAATATGGTATAAAAAAATATTTTATTTAGCATATTTAATTTTTCAACATAACAATGCCAACACTTTTATTTTTATTTTTAAATTTAATACTTTAAAGTAATAAAATTTATCTTATTTTATAATTATGTTATGAATATTAAAAATTAGGTATTAAAAATTAAAATTTATATTAAATGAAACTAAAATATTTGTTCTAACACCAATAAAAATATTAATAAAATTTATATTAAAATAAGTATACAAAATATATGGTTTATATGTTAAATGGTATATAAATGGTATATATGTTAAAAAACCTTCTTTCTTATGTAAAAAGAATAAAGACTTGTGGTTAAAAAAAATAGAGATTCAATCAAAATTGTTTTGGTTTGGCAATGTAAAATACAAATCACCTTTGTCTAAATATTATTATTTTACTTTTGTTAAAATCTAAGGCATTTGAAAATCAAATCTAAACTATTTGACTAAAGTCTAAATTGGGAAACTAATAAAAATGAATTTTTGTTTTAAAATAAAAATTAAATAAAATGACTAAGAGCTTTAGGGAACTAAAGACAAAATGCATGTTTTTTTATGAGATTTTTTATTGTAATATATGTATTTATTTAATTATTAATTGCCTCTTCTCAAATTTTTTATATAAAATAATTTTAATAGAAACATTTATCAATCAAAGCTTCTATATATAATCAATATAAATTCATATGAAAAGTAAATAATGAATCTCAACATCCAATCTTTAACAATATAAATACAGATTGAAATAAACTTAGTTTTTCTCAGCATATATTTTTGAGGTCCTCCTTGCTCCTTAGACGTGCTGGGAGGTCATCAAAGTTGAGGCTGGTGTTTGAAAAGTTAAGCTCAATCAACCCTGGGAACATTTCACGTTCGTCCATGGCACTTGACTCGATCAGCAACTTCTCCAATTTGTAACACTCCCTCACCGACAAACTCTCCAGCTTTGGAGACCATGCCACCACCAGAGGCAGGCACTGGATGCGCGTCCCCTCAAGATTGAGCACCCGGAGCTCACTGAACACGTCCTCTTGCCCCGGAAACTCTTCCAGCAGACCTTTCACCAAGCCTCCGTTCACTACATGAAGCTCCTTGAGCTTTGGGAGCCGAGTTACCGATCGAGGAAGATAGAGCAGGCTCCGACACGAATGAAACTCGAGCTTTGCAAGCATAGGGAATGATCCTGGGTTGAAATCCTTGAGCTCCTCGAATGTGGAGTCCCAGAAAACCAGGGTAGTCAAGCATGGAAAGACTGAAGAGCTTGCAAAGGATGCTGGTGGCATGCTGCAGCCGTGTAGTGTGAGAGACGAGAGCGCCACAAACTTGTCCACCTCTGGGATTTCATCGAAGCAAGTTCCTACCTCGAGCAGCCTCAGATAATTACACCCTTGGAACAGCTTCTTCCACGAGCCATGCAAGGTTTCCACTCGCACCACGCAGGACTCGAGATTGGCCGGCATGGCAAAGAAGTTCCGGAGGTTTGCCACCCTTGTATGGAGTGTCAAGTACCGGAGGTTGGCCAACTTTGCTGGGCTGCTCGAGAAGATCTCTATGCTGCCGTGGTTTTTCTCGTCGCTCGAGAGCTCCAGGCTCGTCAGCTTCTCAAGGGCATCTAGATCCAGCTTCTCGTCCCGAGGGCTGCGAAAGTTCAGGTGTAATACCTCCAAGTTAGAGAGCTTGTGGAGCATTGCAAACTGGAAGTTTCTAATTCCTTTGAAGCTCGAGCTTGTGAGAAGATCCAAGTATTTGAGCGAGGACATGGTGTAGCAGCACTGGGGGACTTCTTCCAGCCTCGAGTCCCGCAGATCGAGCACTTGGAGTTGCCCGAGGCTGCAAATCTCGCTCGGTAGAACCTTGAAGCTCGTCCCTCTCATGCTCAAGACTTTCAAGTTGATGAAACTCTTGACGGCACTCAATCCACCATCTGCGAGGCTGTTCTTGTCGAGCAGCAAAACCCGAACGTCGTGTGCCACGCCCTCGCTCGGTGGAAGCGAAGAAATCCCGGAAGCTCGCAGCGAGATCCTTCTCACTCCTACCAACTTGGAGCTGAATAGATCTGTGAGCCTCTTCCCTGTCGCTCGTCCAGCCAGAAAAGCACACCCTTCCTCGTGCTCCCCTCGAGGATTGTCGAGGCGGCGCAGGATGAGCTCGCGAAGAACATCGTGAAGGCGGTAGCCACCACCATCAACCTCGACTTCAACCATGGATCTCTTCACCAGGACGTCGAGAATCATCCGAGCTTCGTCCCAGCCGCTGGTCTCGCCCTGCTCCACGGCCAGAGGCGGGATGAGATCGTCTCCTCTCCACAGCGCCACGAGCTCCTCGAGCGTGATCCTGGCGTCTCCCTCGTACGCAGCCATGCAGAGGTAGCACTCCTGGAAGAGCTTCCCATACTCGAGCGTCAAGAGGTCCTCGTAGCTATAGTCGAAGAGGTGAGACACCTCTCCCTCCTCCTCCAGTGCCGCCAGCCCTCGCGCTTTCACCTTCGCGGCGGACACCTTCCAGCTTGCCCGATCCGTCTTGCCCGCCATGGAAGATCCCACCACCTTGAGCGCGAGCGGGAGTCCCTTGCACGCCGCCGCCATCTCGCCCACGAGATCATCGATCCCCGGCTGCTCGCTCCCGGCGTCCTTGAAAGCGTGCATGCAAAAGAACTTCTTGTTATCCGCGCTCGAGAGAAGCCCCGCCGAGGTAATCACTTCCGCCTTCCTCCGCTCGAGCAGCCCGGAGTTTCGCGTGGTGACGAGCATCTTGCTCCCGTTTGCCCGATCCAGGACGTCGAGCCCATCCAACACCGCGCCTTCCCAGACATCGTCCAGTATGAGCAGCGTTCTCTGGCCGCCCAGAAGATCATGCAGCGTCGACTTGGGCTGATCGAGAGCTCTCCCGCGATCATCGTCCAGGAGGTTGAACAGCGCCCTCTGCAAGTTCTCCACGCTCGCGTTGCGATGGACGCCCAGGAAGTAGACGCGGCCTTCGAAGTGCTCGAGAACTCTGGCGTCGTTGTTCACCAGGCTTGCGAGGGTGGTCTTGCCGGATCCACCCATCCCGCAGATGCCAATCCACTTCCCCTTCTCCGGGTCCATGAGCAGCCGGATGATCTCCTCCAGCTTCTCGCTCACTGGCATGATGTTCTCCGGAACTGGCTGCCTCCGGTAGCCGTGAGTACTCCGCTGCTCCACGACCAAGCACGACAAGGTGGCCGCTGGAAGATCGTTGTGAATGACACAAAAGGAGAGTCTTTGCCTCTTGATCGCGAGCCAGATCCTTCGTCTAGAACAAAGATGATTGAAAGTTATGGATGTGATCACGATCGACAAGCAAACCTTTCAAAGATCTGGTATTTCCTAGCTCCTCGCCTCGCTAGCTCGATCACCTCCATGGTATCCATGCACCATCGGTTGAATTCTTCCCTCCAGTTCTGGAACTGGCTGGATTGCGTTTGGTACTTGTTCTTCGTTGGATTGGACTCCATCTCCTTGAGCAGGGCGACGTATTTGCGGTGATCCTCGGCTAGAGGCCGGAGCTCCTCCTTGTATCTCGCCACCTTGATAAACTCCCCAGCAACAAACTTGAAAGCATTTCCTATGACCCAATCGACAATCACTTCAACCATTTTCTTTTCTTTCTTTTAGATTGATCCTAAACATTCAAGTTCTTCCGGAATATATACGTGGTTGATGCTTTGCTTGTGTGAATCGCTTCAATTATTCTATAAGGAAAGTATTTCCATCTTTGCTTAGCTCTACATAAAGTCGAGCTTCCTACTTTGCTTAGCTCTAAAGACGAGCTTCCATACTTTGCTTAGCGCGATATCTTCTTAAATCCATGGTTACTTTGCTTAGCGCGATATCTTCTGATATTAACAGAGAATCAAAGGTAATAAGACCAATAACAGATCACTCTCTGTAAAGTAAAAACCATTAGGAGGAGTAAATCCTCCACTACATTTTTCTTTTTATCAATCAGCAAAATAAGCACACCCGCTAGAGCTGCTTGCTCTCCGGGAACTTCTCTTCGTAGACTTGCACATTCTGCGAATTCAAGAGCGTTTAGAACTTGAACAAGAAAAAAGCATTGCCTTACCATGAATGTCGCCCGAATCGTTTTTCCAGCGAACCATCGTTTGTTCAAGTTTAGCTGCGCGGCCAAAGCATCGATTGCTGTACCGAATCTTACGTAGACGTGCCCTTGACTGTACCTGCAAAAACAAACGCGTAACGCTCCACTGCGAATCACCAAAGGAAAAAAGCTTACTTGTCGACGCTTATATGTTTCACGGGACCAAACTTTGAGCATTCATCCTGCACGTCGTTTTTAATATCGATATCAAACTCTGGATCAGTCTGCACAAAAGCAAATCAAGTTTAGAAGGGCAATCAAAAAGAGAGATTCCAAACCTCTGTGGCTGGATCAAACATGTTCTTCAAAAGTAAGCATTCGCTAGGTGGTCCTATTGGCTCCTCCGGAAGCACCGATCCATTTTGCATCGACAATGCAGAACCTATACCACCGTATACGGGTGGTACAGCCATGGGGGCCTGAGGCTGAAGAGAAGCGGGCGCCCTACAGAGGTTTGAAAATGTGAGAAACTGTAAAGGGAATGAAAACTTACCCAACACCACCACTGCGGTCAAGCTTTTGCATAAGTAGAGCCCTGGACCGAGCATTCAAAGCCTGCTAATACCAAAGTATCATAATCGGCATTATGCGATCAAAAGCAGGACCTACCAATCCACCTCCCTCATCGTCATCAAGATCATTTTGCGTAGTGCCGATGTCTTGTCCAGTTTGTTGATCGGTAACAGCAGATACCTGGAAACAAACACAGAACAGGCTGAAACCACAGTCCAGATAAAAACAATGTACCTTGATGGCTCGTCCAGCAAGCTCCAAAATTCCATTCAGTCCTTGTTGAGCAGCTCGCGCATCCTCAAGTTTGCTATACTGCACAAAGCCGTACCCTTTACAAAGCCCTGTTTCTTGGTCCAGCGGGAGTTGAACAAGCTCGATGACGCCGAAAGGCTCGAAAACCTGACAAAAAAAGGAGCTGAAATGTCGAGAGATATTCGTTCTTACCTGCCGGAGCTGGTCCTCAGTGATATTCACATGTAGATTTCCAACGTACAAACGCCGAGCACCACCGGAATAAGGGCCATTGAAAGCTCCCGCGGCTGATCCACCACTAGCTGAGTGAACCAAATTCTTTTCAGCTTCGGACGGTTTTACCATCACATTTTGACCAAGCAGCGGCTGGTTGTTTAATTGGAGGGCCAGCGGAACAGACATGGCATCGTAGAACTCGATATACCTGCGAGAGCATACAAGAAAATTAGACGACACAAAATCAAGGAAAAACAGAACGAGAAAACGTACCCAACACCCTTAGATCTTCGAGAATTCCGATCCATGATGAGACGCACATCCCGGACCTGTATAGACAGCACAAAGAGCACGTGGAATTTTTTGAGATACTTGTTACGAAAGTGAGAGCGAGAGAACAACCCAGACCACGGCAAGCTAGTGGCTTCAACAGAAGATACCGTTACAGTATTCGGAGCCACAAGATACTTACATGTTTTCCCACGTCGAAAGCAGACAGGTGCTTTTTTCATACTGCAAATAGGAGCACAAATGACTTATCTGATGCGAAGACAAAACGAAATGACCAACTCAGACATTAAACTCACGCACTTCCTATCAGAGCTAGATCACTAGAGTGTGCTCACCTTTCCGGCTTTGGAGAAAAAATCGTAGACGTGCTTCTCGTCCGCTTTGAGACAAATCTGCAAAATCAACACTTCTCTGTGAGAAGGAAAGAAAAATAAAAATGGAGAACTTTCAAGGACCTGCCAAGCAAAGACTGTTCGCTGATCTCTTTCCGGATCAGGCTCAGACTCCGCTGGTGCTGATTCTTCTTTCCTGTCTCGCCTCTCTCGAGACTTCCTGGACAAAGGAAAAAAAAAACCAAAAAAACCCATTAACTCAAAGAGAAGAGTTTGATAAGACTCACCGAAAGTCCTTATCTTTCTCCCTGTCCTTGGAGCTTGCCCTCTCCTCCTTCTCTTTATCTCGGCTGTGGCGTCGCGAGTCTTTATCCCTGTCATCCCTTCTACTCCGAGACCTTTCCTTGTCCCTATCCCGGTCCCTATCCCTCTCGGATTTCTCCTTGTCGTCGCCGCGCCCTCGATCTCTATCCTTCTCCCGCTCATACCTGGAGCTCCTGTGTTCCCGGCGCGAGCGCTTCTCTCGATCGCCCTTATCCCTATCGCGCTCCTCGTCCCCCCGCGAGCGCTTGCTACTGCGGTGTTCGCTCTTGTGCCCATCGTCCTCCGCCGCCGCCACCGCCTTGGCGCCCTCGCCATTCGCCCCGGCTGTAGCACCGGCGGCAGCGGCGCTCTCAACCGTCTTCTCCAGGTACTCGTACTCGTCGAAATCCATCTCCGCGCTCTAGATTTCCTTCTGTACCGGTGCCGGATAGCTCATCCTACTTCAAGAACCCTAGAAATTTCGATGAGCCCTAACCCTAGATGTGCAGTATATTCGTTTACAATTTAGAGGTCTTTTTCATCTTTATCCATTAACTTTATAAAGGGCCGCCCTCGGCTAGATAGGTTTTGGAAGAGTGGATCCATGGCGTCGTCTTACGCGCTCGCGGATTTCGTCGGCAATGGCACGCTCAAGGAGATCATCGATTCGCTTGTCGCGGATGGCTGGGACGACGTTCCGACGATCAAGATGATGAGCAGCGAGGACATGGAGGCGCTCAATCTCACGCAGCAGCAGCGGGTATGAATTTCTTCCAGATTTCGCGTGCCTTGCGGCGATCTAACGAAATTTCTTGCGATCTAACGAATTTGTTGCAGGACGCGCTCGAAATCCGCAGCTACTTGCACGATCGAGCGCTCATGGAGTACGCAGACAAGCTGGAAGCGTCCGGCAAAACCCTGGCAGAGCTGATCGGCGAATCCCCCACCGCGCTCGCCAGCCAGTTTGGAATGAAGCGCGGCCACGTCGCGCGATTCGTTGATCGCTCCGTCGCGTGCGGCATCCGGATGCCGCCATCCTTGTCGCTGCCGGCCTCGCGAAGAACACGCTCCACAGTATCGACGGTATCTTCCAAAGATTCTCAGCCGGAGGAGCCCGACAGTGCTCGTCCCGCCAAGAACCCTAGTCCTCCTCGAGACGATCCGTCCAAGAAGGAGACCAAGGGGATCGTCGCGTCGGCGCCAGCGGTCCCGAAGCTCTGTGGCCTCATCCCTCCCCTGCGTGTCGACGAGAATGTGACGCCGATCGAAGTCCTCGAGAAGATCAGCGTGCAGCGCGTCACTCCAGAGCACAAGAGGGGCAGCTCCATCGATGGATGGAGCATCGATTCGGGCGTGGCATTGCCTCCGCCGATCAAAGCGGCGGATCTCTGGAGCCGTCGCCCGGCATTGCTGTTCATCATGAGAAGACCCGGGTAAGTTCAAGTTTGAGAGTGAGGCCGAGTTCCTTGAGAGATTCGTGTTCTTCTCGCTAACTTGTTTCATAGATGTGTCATGTGTCGAGCCGAGGCACACCAGCTCTACGCTCGCAAGCCGATCTTCGACGCCATGGGCGTTCATCTCGTGGCAGTCCTTGGCGAGTACATGGAAGCCGAGGTAACTTTGAGCGATTCTTTCCTGAAAACATCATCAAAAACTCTTTTTTCTAGGTGCGAGCGTTCTGGCCTCGCTACTGGGGAGGAATGGTGGTGGTGGACAAGAACAGGGAGTTTTTCCAGGCGCTCGGAGGTGGCCGGTTGCTCAAAGACAACCTTGTGACGGGCTTTTGCTTCAACGCGGCAGCTCGGATGAATTACAAGCGCGCGCAGACGAGCGGAGCCGAGGGGAACTTTGTGGGAGAGGGCCTGATCAAAGGCGGACTCTACATCATACGTGCTGGGAAAGCCGGGGTTGCTTACCAGTTCGTGGAGAGGAACTTTGGAGACTGGGCTCCCGTGGAAGAGCTTCTCAGCGTATGTTCTTCGTTTCAGCCGGTATGTTGAAGGATAGAATGGTTTGATCCATCCGAGACGCTGATGAGTTTTCCTGCCTTGCAGAAGACTGTGGATAAGAGTCAAGACTGAGTGATCGATCTGTAAGATTTCCTGTGATTTATACGAGCGTGTGTACATTACTATCGATGTGGATTTTCTCATAGCGTTTTTTCAGACATGTCTGGTTGAAGAAGGTTATCAAAAACGCGACTTTAGCCGAGGCCTCACCAACGACTGACCGCCATCCACCGCAACGGTGGTACCAGTGATGAAAGACGAATCCTTGCTCACGAAGTAGAGCAGGCTCGAGGCCAAGTCGCGGGAACCATCGGCCCAGCGCTCCAGCGGAAGAAGCTTGCTCACGCTGCTCGTCGTCAAGGCCGTGTTCTTGCCACTCGAGTTTGCCGAGATCATGGCCGCTGCGTCCGACTCGCTCCAGCCACGAACAACGCAGTTGACGCGGATGTTGAATTTGCCGAGCTCCATCGCCAGCGCCTGGCCAGGAACATCGAGATCGATCAAAAACTTTCCAGAGGTATGGAACTTTTTCTCTCTCACCTTGCTCAACTGATGGACTCCCGCAATGCAGGTGCTGTAGATCCCCGCTCCTGGAAACAATCCTCGCTCGCTCCCAGCGATGGACGTCACAAACACGATCGATCCACCAGCTCCGGAGAGTTTCATGCGTCTCGCCACGGATCTACTCACCAGCCAAGCCGCCTTGAGGTTCTTTTCCACCGCTCCATCCCAATCTTCCTCGCTCGCTTCCAGCACCGGCTGAAAGCTCCCTTGATCGTGATCGCACAAGAAGACGAGCGCATCGATCCGCCCAAAAGCCGCCCACGTGCTGGCGATCGATTGCTCCACGCTCGCTTCATCGCCACGGAGATCGAGCTCCACGAATCTGCAAGACGCTGGGGCAATTGGAGCCGGTCTGCCGCCCGCGATCACGATCCTAGACAGGGAAAAGCGTGAAACTCGAATCGAGCGCCGCTCACTTACTTGAAATCGCTGGATGCGAGAGTGAAGAGCAGAGTGTCACTGTCTGGCGTTGGAGTCACGAGGAGCAATACTGCCATAGCTTCCGGGTATAGGGTTCCTCCTTGCTAATGACAATTCATAAAAACTTTGGGATACCATATAAACATTTAGGGCTGACGTGGACAAATCACATAGAGATTTTAGCGCTGGCGTGGCCCCGTGACACAAACCGTCACTCCTATTTTGAAAACCAGAAGAGGGAGAGAGGAGCGATGGTGAGTGGAAAGGAAATGGCGGAGAGGAGAGGCGGCGGAGGGAGGAGCGGCGGCGATGGAGCGATTGGCGGCACGGGTGCGTAGAGGCGGCGGTGTTGATGAAGCTGAAACTCCCCAAGGTTAGGGTTGGAAGGAAGATATTTGGCAACGGGGGCATTCTTGCCAAGGCAAAAAAGGGGTGCGCGTCGGGGATGGCGCCTCCCTGTGGGGGCGGCCCTGACAGCACCGCCGCATCGACTCCTCGGGTAAGCGATCCTCGTCATTCTTGGATATTTCGCTTGGATTCGTTGCATTGTCGAGTGTTTCGATCAATCTTCCTCAAGCTAGCTTGCATTCTTGGATATTTCGGCTGGATTTATGAGTGCCGCTTGCATTATCGAGTGTTTCGATCAATCCATTCGAAGCTAGTTTGCATTCTTGGATCTTTCGTTTAAATTCGTGAATGCCTCGAGTATTTCGATCCATCCATTTGCTTACCTGTGACATTCAAGCTGCTTGTGTTGATCTATTTCACGCTCGATTTTTTTTGCGAATGCGATTCGTGCAGGAGCGGACAAAGCTGAATCAAAAAGCTGCCAAGCTCATGAGCCAGTCAACAAAAAGAAGACTTGCAGTGAGTGCCGAATCAGATATTGAGAAAGCAGCAGCTTATGTTCCAAGGGTAAGCTCGTCGCTCATTCCTCTATGTTTGGTTCTGTCAATGCTTGGAATTTTTCTCAACGAGCGATCGATGTTTTTGCTTTTCTCATTTCTCAGGCCATCGAAAAGAATGAAGCCGCGCGGGAACGCATTCAGCACGCATTGGAGAAGAACTATCTTTTCAAGTCTCTCGACAAGGAGCAAACAAAGACGGTAAAAGTTCTTCTCCGCAAAGAAGCTTTGCCGATTAGCTCACCATAATCCCTCAAAGGTGCACGGTAACAATTATAGTAGCTCAAAGCATTTGGCTTTTGTGTTTGACGCGGGATTGTGCTTCAGGTGGTGGATTCTGTGGAGGAAGTTAAGTACAACCCCAATGACATTATAATCAAGCAGGGCGATGAGGGTGACAAATTTTTCCTCATCGAGGTGTGCTTCGTCATTCCATGTTTTTTCCCTTGTTTTGACTCTTTGTTTAGATAGGTGAATGTGAAGTGTGGTTGAAGGACCCAGAGAGGATACGCCCCGAGATGGTCAAGAGATATGGTCCTGGAGACACATTCGGAGAGCTTGCGCTTCTGTACAATGCTCCCCGTGCGGCAACTGTCAAGGTTTTACAATTCATTAAAATATGTTTGCTGGTTTTGCAGGACTCATTTGGTATTCTTTCCAGGCAATTACAAGCTGTACACTCTGGGCGGTAGACAGGCCCACTTTTCGAGCGATTCTTATGCAAACTACCAACAACAAGCGGCAATTATACGAAAAGTTTTTGGCAGAGGTTCCTTTGCTGAAGGTAAATAGTTTGCAATCGTTTCTCCATCAATTCGCCTTTATTTTGGTTGGCGTGTAGACGCTAACAGCGTACGAAAGATCCGCAATTGCCGATGTTTTGGACGCGGAATACTACGAACCAAACACAGACATTATAGTGGAGGGCCAAGAAGGAAACAAGTTTTATTTTCTGGAAGAAGTAAGGCTCGCTACCGCTTGTGGAAACTGAATTTATTTCGCAGGGAGAAGCCGAGGCAAGGACAGGAGACAAGGTACTAATGAAATACAAGCGTGGAGATTACTTTGGGGAGTTGGCGCTACTAAGCAACAATCCTAGAGCAGCGACTGTCAGAGCGACAACGAAATGCAAGTGCGTTTCAATTCATCGGGACAGTTTCAAGGTCAGCTCATTTTGTTGAAGTTGCTCGTATTCCTACCGCATTTGCTCGTTTGTACTCTAGAGATTGCTTGGAAAAGTAGAAGACATCTTAGAGCGGAGGAAAGAAGAATACGAGAAAACTTCTGCAGGCACAAGCTAATCGCGAGAAGACTTAGCCACAGTTCTGGTTAACTCCAGGTTTGCCGTAGATATTTGAAATTGGAGTGTCAGGATCAGGTTCATGCATATTTGACTGGGAAAAGAAAGCAGTGTCATTTTGCATTTGGAATCCTGTGTCACGTGAACCGCCGCCTCTCTGATTCTCGCAGAGCAAACTAATCTTGCGATCTGCAAACACTTCGGTACTATAAAGTGAGAGAGGAGCACCGCCGAAGCGTGGAGTTCGTAGTGAGTCCTAGTTCAGCTTTTCATGCTGTCTGTGTGAGCGCGCCTCCTCGCTGAAAAGGCATCCAGTACCTCAGGACGCTTAGCTCCTGTTTCAGGACTGTATATTGCGTGTTTGTCTTCGGAGAGGATTCTTCCTAGTGCTGCTTTCTGATGCATAAAGTCTATATCTAAGCAGTTAGTCTAGGATTGTGGTGTCCGAGTTGCTTGCTGTTCTTTTAACGACTTGATATCTTGCAATGGCAGCAGCTCAGACACTCCAGCCAGCTTCAGTTCCTTCGGTCCACAATATTCCCATTTCAGGGGCAAGCACCAACGTTGGCTCCCTTGCGAAAGCTTTGCAAGGCACAGAGACCATTCCGGAGGTGTTCTTGCTTCCTGAGTCGGAGCGTGTCACAGTGCCTCACGATGGTTACTCCGAGCAGGTGTCCCTGCCAGTTGTGGACCTCGGGGAACTGTTGCTGCCGGAGTGTTCCGAGGAGTCGAGGAAGAGAATTGCTCGGGAAGTTGCGGAGGCCAGCAGCGAGTGGGGATTCTTTCAGGTGGCTGGCCACGGCATCCCTCTGGAGCTGCTGGAAAGAGTGAGAACTCAAGGACGAGCGTTCTTTTCACTGCCTGCCGAAGACAAGGAGAAAGCATCGCTCGGTCTCTTCCAGGGATACGAAGGCAGGCACGGCTTCATTCCAACTCGCGTCCCGTGGTCCGAGACTTTCACTTTGCTAATTGCTCCAACTTCCAACGTGGTGCCGATAGTTGAGAAGTTATGGCCAGATGGAAACTCGGAGCTCAGGTACTTCAGTTATCTCTCTTCTATTTACAGTTTCCCGCTCGTTGATCACCTCATTCTCGCAGCTCCACCATCATGGACTACGGCAACGAACTCCACTGCCTCGGGGTCAAGATCCTGGAGCTTTTAGCCGAGAGCCTGGACTTGGACCAGGATTTCTTCAGCAAGAACTTCAAATCCAAGCACTCCGCCGGGATGAGAATGAACTTCTATCCACCGTGTCCGCAGCCGTCCATGGCACTCGGTCTGGGAGCCCACGCCGACCCAAACTGCCTGACAATGCTCTACCAAGACGAAGTCGGTGGCCTCCAGATCCAAAAGGACGACAAATGGATAGCCGTCAAGCCCGATGTCGACTCACTGGTCCTAAACATTGGAGATAGCCTCCAGGTAAACCAAGTTATTCTCTTCTTTAACTTCTCGCTCGTTACTGCTTTCTCTTTCAGGCGTGGAGCAATGGCAGGTTTCGCAGCGTCCAGCACCGCGCTGTTGTGAATGGCAATAACGCTCGTTTGTCCGTTGCCTTCTTCTACAGCCCGGACGACAGTGTATCCATGGAGGTTCCAGCGCAGCTCGTGGACGAAGCCCATCCACTGCTCTACAGGCCCTTCACTTGGGCAGAGTATTTGCAGCAGATTAGAACCAAGCGGATGCGCGGCAAAGGTGGCCTGGACACGTTCATGAAGATCTCAGACGAGAGCAAGACCGACTAAAAGGAAACCTCAACGCAAATGTCTAGTTTTATCTTTTTATGAATGACAGATCTAAGCATTATATGGACGAGTGCATCTGAAAATAAAGCGTGGTCCCCACGACAGCCAGGCCAGAGACTATTCACACGAATTTTCCGTGTGATTCAGGACCACAAAAGATTTATCACGTATGACAACAACATTCCATCCGTGTCCACTACATTTTTTTTATATATATATATTTGAGGTAATCCAAGATGCTACAAGAAGTGGCACCAAAACCATAATATCTTACAAGCTTTTACAATTTGTTCCTGGAATGCAAAAGGCACTATAGCAATTGCCATAAAGGGTCACAAGGAAGATGATTTTACATTCAGCTTAGTTAATTATCAATGCAAGTTCATTCATTGTAAGCAATAAAGGATTATAACAATGGAATTAATAAGGAACGGAAGCCAGAAGTTCCATTCATTCATGGTGAAGATAACCAGTTAACCAGCGCATAAGGTTGAACATGCATCCATTACATAAAGCACAGTGCTGGTCAGCCATCTTCACCATGAATGAAACAGGAACAGGCTCTAGGAGATTTCTCCAGGCCTCCTCCAGCAGGATGTTTCACTCCGCTTCCACCCTCGATCACTGCACAACATGGTGCTACCATTGGATTGGACTCGGCTCCGCCCTGGATGATCTTGTCGTGGATGTCTCTCAGATCTTCCAGCCTCTAGCACGCGTTTAGAGCCGTGATCTTGTTTGGAGCCACGCCGTGTAGCTGCATGGTTTGGAAGATCTTGAGAGCTTCCTTGGCCACGCCACTGTGCTCGGCGATGGTTTCGGTCCACAAAGTCACATCCGGTTCCACCAGTGCTTTGCTCGCATCCATCATGCTGCCGCACTTGAGGTACATCTTGACGATGTTCTTCCCGAGGAAGGCATCGAGCTCCAGTCTGTAATTTCACGTGGAGCTCTTGGGCTTCGCAGAGTGCCCGGTGCTCGCCACAAAAGTTTGCTACTGGAGCATACTCGCCAACCATCTAGAGAGCTTACCAAGTTCCTTAACTGCCTTCCGAACTTCCAGGCAGGCATGGCTTCATTCCAACTCGCGTCCCGTGGTCCGAGACTTTCACTTTGCAAATTGCTCCAACTTCCAACGTGGTGCCGATAGTTAAGAAGTTATGGCCAGATGGAAACTCGGAGCTCAGGTACCTCAGTTATCTCTCTTCTAGTTCAGTTTCCCACTCGTTAATCATCTCATTCTCGCAGCTCCACCATCATGGACTACGGCAACGAACTCCACTGCCTCGGGGTCAAGATCCTGGAGCTTTTAGCCGAGAGCCTGGACTTGGACCAGGATTTCTTCAGCAAGAACTTCAAATCCAAGCACTCCGCCGGGATGAGAATGAACTTCTATCCACCGTGTCCGCAGCCGTCCATGGCACTCGGTCTAGGAGCTCACGCGGACCCAAACTGCCTGAAAATGCTCGACCAAGACGACGTCGGGGCCTCCAGACCCAAAAGGACGACAAATGGATAGCCGTCAAGCCCAACATCGACTCTGATAAGGATGAACAGGCTCTCGTTCATCACGAGAGGCTACAAAACCGCCTGAGAGCTCTGGAGAATATGCTATGCCAGCATATTCATATCACTCCCACTTGAGCACTAAGGTGCTCGCTCAAGGAGCTCTCTCATGCCAAGTGCTTGTACGTGTCGCTGGAACAGTAACGCCTTGGTAAAAATATCTGCAACCTGCTTTGTTGGATGAGCTCCAAAACATGCTGGTTCACTTGATCTCAAATATAATGGAACTGCACCTGGATATGTTTGGTACGCCCATGGCACCTGGGATTCATGGTGAGTGCGATAGCACCCTGGTTATCGCAAAAGGTAACTGTTGGCGCTAGCTGATGCCGTCCAAAAGTTGTCGTAGCTAGCAACATTCCTTAGGATAACGCTATAATTGACTGTCGCTTGCTGCACCATGTGAGAGTGCCACTGCCGAGACTAAAAATATAATCTGAGGTGTATTTGCGCTGCTCAACCTCGCCTGCAAAGGCAGCATCTGTGAAGCCATACCTGCTGGGACTTTGGAGTACGTGAGTGCATAATGTGTGGTCCCCTTCAAGTAGCGAAAGATGCATTTGACTGCCAACCAATGAGGAATCCTTGAGTCTTGAGAAACTGGGACACTGCTCCCACTAAAAAAGCCAAATCTGGCTGTGTGCAGACCATCAGGTGAATTAAGGTGCCAACCATCTATGGGTACAGTATCTGCTTCATCTTCTTGCATTCCTCAACTGTTTGTGAGACTTGATCTTTGCTGAGATGGAGGCCAGCTTCCATAGGAGTTTATGCTTCATTCAGCTCAGCAAGATGAAACCTCCAAGATATTGTCAACATACTTTTGCTGAGATAATTGTATGATGCCAGCTTGCCTGTCGTGTATAATCTTGATCCCCAAAAAATATTTCACTGATCCAAGATCCATCATCTTAAATTATGCTTATAGCTCATGCTTAAGCTTCTGTTAAGCTACATGAGTTGGACTGACTGTTCACATAGCTTGAATTTAAACTTTTCGAAAGGTTATTTAATATAGTATAATTCAAACCTAATTCCAGGATAGCTATGCTTGATCTATCATAGCTTCTAGACTTAAATCTCCATTCTCTCTTGTCTAAGTTGTTCCCAGCCAATATATAAAATATCCAAGAATATTTTAGATATATCTATTACCATCAATTAATAAATTATAAAATAATAAATGTATTCCTCTTATTTATATAGAATAATATTTAAGCATGTTTAATGAGGTGAGAATATTATTTATGTGAGGGCCAAGTGTACAACTACAATGCTGTATACTAATATTAGCGTAGTGGGATTTTGGTAACCGTTGGATTGGTTTCAATCTGGACCACTCGCTCCTATATATAAGCTAGGGTTTTTGGGCTAATTGATATGCACATTTTCTGTATTCCCTTTCCATATTCAAAGCACTCACATTAGTGGAGGTGAGGGGCATCTTTGATTATCCTTAGGGAAATATTTATTTATTTATCTATATGTGTGTATATCTATAATAAGCCAACTGATGCTAAAGTGCAATAAAGTATTATTAGTACTTCATTTTCTCTAACTTTATTCTCTAGATATTATTATATCCACCATAGTAAAACAAATATAACAACTGTTAAAGTTTTAATTTTAAATTTTTTATTTAAAAATAATTATAAATAATAATACCTAATCATAAATTAATATCTATAATCATGAATTATTATTTATTAGTTTTAGTTATATTAAATTTTACAATTGGTATATTATCTGATGAGCCATGTGGTGGATGGATTAATACTTGTAAAATTCTAACACTTGAGCCTTTATACTTAAGTGTTAGTGTAAGTTGTAAAAAAATTGATAAATCTTGGCATCCATCCATTTTTGTAATTGGTCTTTGTAGTTATGAAATTTTATATTGTAATTTGTATCCAGAAAGGAAAGAAAATAATTTAATTTGTCATGATTCTCAAGGACAGGAACTTGAACTTAATAAACTTGCAGGAAATAATGATGGGCATGTTATTTGTTGCTCACCTCCATAACAAGAGCCAACATTATTTTCTCCATAATATTTAGTATTTGTATTTATTTATAATTATTTTATAAGATTATTTTTACATTTACTAATTTTAAATAATTTTATATCTATATAAGGTTTTTAAATAATTATATATATTACAAATGTTTATTTTTTTTAATAATAGTTTCTAGTATGGTAAGCAGTTTGTGATGATAGTTTTTAGGAAGAGGTACACCTCCCAAAAAGGGAAGTACTTGTAGTTTGGCAAAAAATTATACAAACCTATAAAATTTATAAAATATAAACACATATGTGGTTGAATTGTTATAACACATATGTATGTATGTATGTATGTATAAGGTTTAATGAACTTCTCACAGCGTCGCCGGTGGCGAACCGTTAGCATCGCTGCAATCTGAACACTTCACCAGATCATTCAATCGGTAGGAGCGACGGGCGGTGTGTACAAAGGGCAGGGACGTAGTCAACGCGACTTTATATATATATATAAAATATTTGTATTAATTCCCCAAGCAATAGTGTATCAGAGGCTAGAATGTTTCTTTTTAAACAAATCTTTCAAACTTAATTTTGTGATGGGAAGGAGGTAAGAAATATTTTTTCTCTATAATTTTTCAATTTTTCACTTTTAAATGTTATTTATGATGTCCACAATCATATCCTCTAAAATGATCTAGCTTGGGACATATACAAACTTTTATTTTACATCATACTTTCTAAATGCCATAGCAGCTTTGCTTATGAAAAATAGAAGAAAGTTTAAAATCTTCCTCTAAATAAACTTCTTTCAAATACAAATCTTTTTATTGTAACTCCATTAGAAATCATCTCATATTTATCTAGTTTTTTCTTCTGCACTTAATGCAAAACTGCAAGATAAGATATTGCATGATGCTACCAATTGCAATTCCTCTCACTAGACTGATCTTGTGTACTCTCTTCCAATGGTATGCATTTGATAATCTTGCCACCCAAGCTGTATCATCACTTTCTCATTTTAATAAATGGTTTCCACTTTTTCCTTCCTTTGATCAATTTAGGCTTTATATACATTACTTGTTTCATGTATGTTTCTTATGCTCTTGGAATGTTGAATATATTGATGGATAGAGTGATCAATCAAATTTGTTATTATCAAGATGATATGAATGAGGTTGTTGGAGAGATGGGGGAGAAGTTGAGTATGCTATGGTGTGGATTCATGAGCACATCAAACCTCTAATAGTATTATTTAGATACATGATTATTCTAATTTTATATCAATTGTTACTAAAATATCCAAGCATATTTAAGCTCTATTTCGTTAAAGTGGGAATTGTCATTATCCCACTTGTAAAATAAGGTTTTCAAACCTTTATATAGTATATAAATATAACAAAATTCAACTGCATTGAGGCACATGCCATTTTATTTTAAACAAGGAAATGTCTACTTAATCACTTCTCCTCCCCCTGCCACTGCTTCACCTCTCTCTTCTCCTTGTTATTGTCGTCTAATTTCTTTCCATCCTTTTAATATTGGCTCAGTTGCTCCAAGTCTAGGTGGAGCCCAAGTCCCCATTTAATCTTTACTTTCCCCTTATTAATAAAACAACTTCGTAGACTTCCAATAACATGCTGTAACACTTCTAGTATAATGCAAATCCTCTCAAAGAATTGTCTTTTAATATTAATACAATGGCATGGAACCCATGCCATAATAAGTTACATTTTTAAATAAATACATGCCATCTCAGACTGTTATTTTTTGCCTCCAACACCTATACAATAATCTTGGAATTTCATCAATCTCCACACTATCAGGATTTAAACCCAATAGTAATTAAAGAGAATGACTCTTAAGAGATTTATAAGAAAATGAAAAATAATGCATCTTTTTTTCCAGGGTAACCATCTTTTTTTCCAGGTCTACAAAAGTCACAAAATAGAGCTTCTTCTCTCGAGAAAGTATTGGCATCATACACACCTCACAGTGGATGAGCTTTAAACTCTCGGTAGCTCTTGTAGCAGCACCAGCCTTGAAAGGAAATTGTGCTGCTTCGAGAGAACGCACGGCTCACAAAACCTCAGCTTCTGAGAAGTGATGTGAAGACCGTCAACCATGCCTGAACTCGCGAGTTGTTCAATATCCGGCAATGGCATGTCTGGAGGTCAACCGCATGCTGAGAACCTGCAAAAAAGAAGCTGCTCGCTAGTTCGCAATCACGATCTGTGATTCTTCCAACGGAGAAGAGTGTCTTCTTGACACCAGGAACGTAGTAGACTCCACTGACTGCTACAGCCTGTCCTGTGGCAAGTCGAACCTTGATCGTACCCACTCCACACACGCTGTGTGAATAGTCATCGCCGAGGTAAATTCGCTTCCCGTCTGGAACTTCTTATAAATGCGAGAAAAGGCTTTGGAGATAAAGTACCCAACACTCCAAGAACAGCATATGGACAGAGCCATGAACAAGCTGCCATTACTGACAGCATCTTGCTCTGTTCGTGCGTAATTGGCGACTTGCTTCCTCTTCCTGATTTCCTTCCGGATCTTGGCCACTTCAGTCCCGGGCAAAGTGTCCTGGCTTTTTACAGATATTACAGAGACCGTTATATTTGCGCTTCTTGTTTCTCTTTCGCTCGTTTTGTCCTTGCGTTCTTTGGCAGCACCCTCCTGGCGCGGAGACCTTGGCCTGAGACCTCCTAACAAGGTTTCCAGCGCTAACATCTCGTTAACGATCTCGTGGCCACATGTCCAGACTCCAGTGGCAGCAAGTTGAAACGCTGTTGGAATGCCCTCCGTGACAAGGTCGCTGTCGTCCACTTTGGTGGAAGATTAAAGGGTGTCTATCTGCTTCGCATCCTTCAACGACTTGCATAAGCTTGGATTGACTCATCCTTCTTCTTGACCATGTTGCCAATCTTGGTTTTCATCTCAATTACGTTGGTCTTGTTGGTTCAGCTAAACTGTCAGGGATGTGTCAAGGTGACACCGATAGATCTTCCCCACTACACGTCCAAGGATTCCAAGAGCTAGAGTGTTTTGTCTATTCCACTCTTTCTCGGCTGCAACCTCTGTCGCTGCTGGTCCCAGAGACTATGCCCCAAAGAAAAACTGCATCTGAGTTTGCCATCCATGGACGTCTCTGGGCAGAGATTTCAATGGATGGCGAACTCAGATGCAGTTTTAATACCATCAAAAGCTTCCAAAATGTCTTTAGCTGCAGGAGAGAGCTCTAGAGAATGATAAGCTAGCATATTCGTATCAGATTTCTTTTAGAAGTGGCAAACCATAACATCTTACAAGCTTTTACAATTTGCTCTTGGAATGCAGAAGGCATTATAGTAATTGGCATGAAAGGCTATATTTTACATTTAGCTAATTAGTCATCAGTGCAAATTTATCCATTGTATGTAATAAACAACTGTAGCAATGGAGCTAAAAAGAGAAGATATGGAGGCAATTAAACCTCTCAAAAGTTTTATTCATTCATGGTGAACATAGTTGACTAGCACGTAAGATCAAGCATGTATCCATTACCTTCCTCATGGTAAAGCACAATGCTAGTCAGCCATCTTCACCATGAATGAAACAGGAACAGGCTCTGGGAGATTTCTCCAGGTCTCCTCCAACAGGATGTTCACTCCGCTTCCACCCTCGATCACTGCACAACATATATAAACTCAACATCTATACATGGAGAGCGTAAATCTGTGATGACTTGCCATGAATTTACAATCACTTCCCTGCTGTGGCCCTTCATGGCAATTGCCATGGCCTTCCACATAGCTGAATCCACGCCTTATCAGATATTTTTGAATTTGGATCTGGCTCATCTTGAGCCGTTCACCATTGTTTTCATCAAAGAAAAATGGAAAGATTATAAACTTCTAAGGAGCATAAACACTGGACAAGACCACATACCCGGACTCCCACCCCGGATCCAGCTCAAGAACACGCTCTCCGGCATGCAAGCCCACACGAACGGCATCGTCTCGCTCTCGACAAGCCCGGAGCAAGGCCATCCACGCCTCCTGATCCGGCTCCACTGGCATCCTCTCCACGAGCTCCTCTGCATCGCCAACTTCACCCGATCGCCCAAACAAATCCACAACGCAGCCGTAGTGCTGGCCTAGCGGCGTCAATCCATAGTCCTGGATCATCGACGCGAAGTACGTGATCGCCCTGTAGAGCAGCCCCCGGTGGCTACACGCCGATAGAACGGACAGGAAAGTTACCGGGCTTGGAGCAAATCCCGACTGTTGCATCTCCTCGAAGAGCTCCAGCGCCTGCGAGACGCGGTTGTGATGAGCGTAGGCCGCGATGATCGACGACCAGGTGATCACGCTCCTCTCCTCCATCGCCTCGAAGATCTCCCGAGCTCGCCCAAGCATCCCGGACTTTCCATACGAGTTTACCAGCGCCGTGGCCACGTCCACGTCGTGCTCGAAACCAGCGATAGCGGCTTGGAGCTGCTCGAGCTCCTTCTGTGAAGCTCGCCCGGATGATCCGTCCAGCACCGCTGTGAAGGTGATCCTGCCGGGCTTGACGCCACTCTGGTGCATTCTCGTGATGATCTCCAGCGAGTCTTTGAGGCTTCCTCGCCGCGCATGAGCTTCAGCTATGGCGGTGTACAGAACCTCATCTATGGATGCCTCTGCCACCTTTTGAAAGACAGCTTTCGCAGCTTCCAAATCGCCACACTTGCTATACATGCTGATCAAGCCCGTGGAGATGTCGATCATCGCAGAGCCCAGGCCAGTTTCTTCGATCATCCTGTGAACCAGAAAGCCGGTTTTGAGCGCTCTCTCGTCCTGGCACGAATCGAGCATGGCGAGGAATGTGATCTTGTCCGGAGTGATCCCTTCCATTTGCATCCGCTGGAAGAGCCCGAGTGATTCCTCGTGGAGGCCATCTTTCGCATAGGCCGCCACCATCACGTTATAGACGAACACGTCTGGATCGCGGACCTTGTCGAAAACTTGCCGGGCTTTCCCAGAGCTCGAAAACTTGGAGTACCTGTGGATGATCGTGGTCGCCACCATTGGATTGGACTCGGCTCCGCCTTGGACGATCTTGTCGTGGATGTCTCCCAGATCTTCCAGCCTCGAGCACGCGTTAAGAGCCGCGAGGAATGTGATTTTGTTTGGAGCCACGCCATTTAGCTGCATGGTTTGGAAGATCCTGAGAGCTTCCTTGGCCATGCCGCGCTTGGTGTGCTCGGCGATGGTTTCCGTCCACAAAATCACGTCCGGTTCCACCATTTCTTGCAGTGTTTTGCTCGCATCCATCACGCTGCCGCACTTGAGATACATCTTGACGATGTTCTTGCCGAGGAAAGCGTCGAGCTCCAGTCTGTGATGGATGGCTTTCGCGTGGAGCTCTTGGGCTTCGCGGAGTGCCCGGTGCTCGCCGCAAAAGTATGCCACTCGAGCATACTCGCCAGCGCTAGCGTCCCCATCGAGAGAGCTTACCAAGCTCTTTAGTTCGTGTCGACTTGGATAGTGGCTTAGATCTTCGCTTGTGAAACGCGGCCTTGGAAGAGCTGCGAAGGAAGGAGTGTGTGAAAATTGCGAGAAAAGCTAATGAATTGTTCTACTCACCTGGAATAGTTGAGCTGAGAAGATGCTTCTCCATATCCAGTAGATTGATCGAGCTTGAAGAATCATACTGCGAGGCCGGAGAGAAAATCCTTCGCAATTCATGGTCTCATTCTTTCTCCACAATGAAAGAACCATCACATAGTCTCATTCCTCTCCACAATGACATATGCATTTGAGGTAAGAGGTAGATTTGACGAGAACGTAGACCATTTCTCCTGGAAAAAGGAAATCTTTCGTTCCTAGACGAATCAAACAGCAAATCGTACCTCTTTCGAGCACTCCTAGACGAATTAGAGCTCTTTCGAGCGCGCAAAGTTTTGGCGGTGCCCAAAATGTAGGCTCTAGAACCCTAAATATTTAGGGTTCTTCGGCGCCGTTAAGATGCAAGTTCTCACATTCGTTGTCTCCTCTCGCGCGATTCGCATCTAAGAAAGAAAGACTGCAAGAGCTTACCGAAAGAGTTTTCTTCACAGATATGAGCTTGGGAGGCAGCCCGCGATGACGTTCGCGGTGGCAACTCCAATGAGTGGGAATACCCAGACGCTGGTGACGAGCGCCATCGTCCAGGTTGATGCTACGCCCTTTCGAGCTTGGTACAACCATCACTATGGCGTCGATCTCTCACGCAAGAAGAAAGCTGCGTTCTCCAAAAAGGAAGGGGAGGTATGGTTTGTGGTTTCTTTGCTCGACGTCTAGTTCCTTTTTCTGTCGGGCCTAGTTTGCTTTGGGCCGATCGCTTGTTCTTTTGGAAGTTCTCTTTTTTCCTGGCCTAAGTTCTTGCTTATTCTTGTCGTTGTCATTCCTTTTTTCTCTTTCGCGCCTGGTTGGATTTGGATGGATTCTCCAGTAGAGTTTGAAGTTCCATTTTCTTTTTTGGTATCTGAGCTTTTGGAGCTGTGCTCAGTGAAGCAACCGGCGAGGAAGAGAAGCCAAAGAGCAAGCACACGCTGCGAAAGCTTGCCGCATCCACACCTCGAGGAGCAAATGCCGAGTGGAAGGCTACTCGCGTGCATCGCTTCCCGGCCTGGACAGTGTGGGTAAGCAAGCTCACAACAAGAGAGTTTAGTCCATAAAAGTGACAATTTTCTGATTTCCTTGTGTTTTAACATGAGGAAGATCCAAAAGAAAAAAAGGAAAAGCGTGAAATCTAAATAATCAGTGTCATCTTAAAGGTACTAACAATCTTTAGTATAATTCTGCTTTAAGATTCTCATAAACTCGCATTTGTATATGAATACTTACATTTTATGTAAATGCCATCAAACGCATTGTCTAAACAGCTTCACATCAGTGATACCATCAATACCTGAAAGCTCGTCCCTCACAGCACGATATTCTATCCCAAACGCATTCAGCACAACATCCACATACCCATACCAGCGATCCCGAGAGTAAAGTTCCTCGAGGATGGAGTGGCACATATTTACGACACTGTCAACCATGTCTTCAAACGAGTGCACTACCTGCGTCGACGGAATCGAGCATATTCCACCCCGATCTTCAGTCCATATCTGGTTCAGCACCCGGATCTCGACGCTCACCATGACGTTTCCGGCGAGCGTAGCAACCCACGAAAACCTATTGCCGGCTCTCACCTCGCGGCGAGGACCCAGGCCCCGTACGTGTTGTATCACTTGGGCCACAAGGTCTCTCACCTCACGTACAGTGAGCCTGTTGTAGTTCAGCAAGAACCTGAAGAGCCCATGCTGGGGTGGAGGTGCGTCGCAAGTGTTAGCCATTGCCAAGAGGAAGATCATCCACAAGAGCAAACTCAAGAGGTTTGTCATCACAATCTTGAAATGTCCAAATATGAAATGCCAGAATATATAAGAAATGGTCGTATCAATTATACATTTGAGGTTTTTGTTTTTTTTTCTCTTGTTTGTTGAAATTATTCAGATTCTCCTATGCTGTTTTGCTACCTGCCAGCTTCGATCTGTCCTAGGCAATTAAAATTATCCAGATGTTGGGCTGAGGTGAAACAATCTCGATCCACCTTATACATGTTTCCTGTATTTCAATGAAATTATTCTACGTATCAATGATACATAGCAATAAGCTAATATCAATATTCCAGTCTAGAAACAGAATAAAAAGATGGCGATAAAAAGACAAATAAATTTAAAACCATAGAAATAAACATTCAAAAAGAATACCATTCTCTACAGTATTCTCTATTTGGATTTCTGACGCCTCATGGAGCCGGCATTGTGATCCTCTAGAAACTTTTTATTTGCCAGGTGTCCATCTTTGTATATAGGGCCTCCATTTCATTTTCTCCAATCCCATGATCCTGGATAGAGAGTGCTATATGTTTGATTTCCAAACAAGATGAGGTTATTTATGATCCAGGATCTTCTTATAAAGAGACATTCAACAAAAAAATGGGATGAGAGAGGCTCGAACTCTCGACCTCAGGATTGCTTAGCAGCTATGAGACCTACGCGCTGACCAACTGCGCCACCATCCCTTACATTATTTTAATCTATAAGATCATAATTCTTTCCAGTGTAGTTTTTCCACAAAGTCTCAAGAACTCTTTAGCAATTGCTGGAAAAGCAAGAATTGGCTACGTTCGCTTTGAATTTAGAAATTTTCTTTCACTGCCCATAATGTACTTAACATAATTGTTTAAAAGCGTTTAAATTTAAAGTAATTGTTAGCACCCAAAAACATGATATATATATATATATAGACACACACACACACATCTAGCCCATCGTATTGCAGTATCTAAAAAGCTTCACATCTCCATTAATATTTAAAAGCTCATCTCTTTGAACTTGATATTCTATCCCAAATGCATTCAGCACAACATCCACATACCCGTACCAGCGATCCTGATTGTAGAGCTCCTCCAGGATGGAGTGGCACATATTTATGACATTATCAACCATGTCTCCAAACTGGTACACCACCCGTGTTGAGGGAATGGAACATATCCCACCCTGATCTTCTCGCCATATCTCGTTCATCACCCGGAGCTGCACGCTCACCACCACGTTTCCAGCCAGCGTAGTAACCCACGAAAATGTGTCGCCCACTCTCACCTCGTGGCGAGGCCCCAGGCCTCGCACATATTGTATCACTTGCCCCACAAGTTCTCTTACCTGAGCTACAGTGAGCCTGTTGTTGTTAAGCAGGAACCTGAAGAGCCCCTGCTCGGGTGGAGGTGCGTTGCAAGTGTGAGCCATTGCCAAAAGGAAGATCATCCACAGGAGAAAACGAAGGAGCTGTGTCATGACAGTGCAAATATCAAAGACGCGATATAGTATGAGAATGAGGGAAATGTCTGTCTCAATTCTCAATTTATAATTTGAGGTTTTTGTTTTTCTCTCTCTTTGTTTTGCTGAAATAATTTAGATTCTTTTCTGTTTGTAGTTTCTTTAAATATATATTTATATGAAATTATCCAGATAACAAAAAATATTAACAACTCTTTTGTTAAGTTGAGATGGCCGAGTTGGTCTAAGGCGCCAGATTAAGGTTCTGGTCCGCAAGGGCGTGGGTTCGAATCCCACTCTCAACACATTTCTTGCTCCAGTTTATCACCTATCTTTATATCTTGCTCCAACGCTACTCTTTATCTTCAAATCTTGATCACAAATCTTTATATCTTGCTCCAGTCTATCACTAATCTTCATATCTTGATCACTAATCTTTATCCTCAAATCTAGATCACAAATCTTTATATCTTGCTCCAGTTTATCACTAAACAGTTTCCGAAAGAATATTGGGTACCTATACTCCAAGGTCGGACAGGAGTTGCTTCACGCAAGGCCTTACTCCTCCACTTGGTGCCGTGATCAGCGAGTCCTGACCCAGGCAATCGCGAAGGATATCTGCTGGTTCTTTGGCACCACCGTGCTGAAGAATTCCCCGCCTTAGAGTTTGCCCTGTCTCCAGGCTTAGAGGGTTCGCAGCGCAAACTTTTTGCCAGATGCTAGCTGCGATGCACCGTGCATACAAGTAGCTGTAGTATCCTGGAACACAAGCACCCCTGTCAGGAGCAAATCTGGGAAGCAAAGCACGGCTTACCAGCGCCATAAGTTATCATGTGTCCAAATTTCGATTGCCAGTGCGTGCCTTCGATGTGCTTCCAGTTTTTGCTGAGCTCTTGCATCTCCACGAGCACTCCAGTAGTGCCGCCAGCAGGTAAAGGTTGCGGTCCGAAAAACTTTTGATCCACCATGGCATACAAGACCTGGAGAGATTTTAAATTAGTGGAGTCGTGTCGCGTCTACTGCAACCCATACCTGTCTCAGTAACTCCGTGACACCAAGCATCTTTTTCGCTTGGTTCATTGATACCACCATCTTCTCTGGAATCGTTTCGCCAGCTGAGTTTTGTGCGAAGGTTTTCAACACTTGATAGTCCCAAGCAAAGCATCTGGAAAATGAAAATTAGTAACTAGAACATGAAGTTTTAAACCTTTAAACTTACTCGAATACGTTTGAAGGTGTTTCCGCAAAGTCAATAACTGTTCTCGTCCCAGAAAAATGTTGATACTCCTGCGATAAGTGAAGGTTGAAAAAAAAAAAAAAAAGGCAGCAATATTTTCGTACCGTTCGTGATAAAAGCGAATGAAGAGCATGGCCGAACTCGTGGAAAAGGTTTTCCACCTCCCAATGATGTAGTAACGCAGACATTGACGACAGAGGCTTAGAAAAATTACAGACCAATGCGACCACCTGAAGACAGAGAAACTCAGCAGTGAAGAAGTATTAGGAAGAAAAGTGATCGTACTGGCAATTGGTATTCAGTCTCGGATGTTCTACGCCCGCCTTTGAGAGTAAAGTGAGCGCAATTTGGGTATTTTTCTTTCCGCGAATACAAGTCCAGAAACATATGGCCTAAACAACCCTGAAGAAAATTGTTTTGATCAAGGTGCCATGTAGCAAACAGAAGTCTTTTACCTCGGTGCTATGCCGAAGTTCCCACTTTTGAACGTCAGAATGCCATACTTCTCCAGGTGCTACGGAAACTTGTTCAAAAGACGCATCGAACAGGGATTTTACAATCACTTTAAGACCATTCATGCATCGCTCAAGTGGAAAATACGAGGAGATTACCTGGAACAAAATAGCTCAGAAGCATTCTTAAGCATGAGCTTTAATTTTACCTTGGAGTCTAAATTTTGAGCACGAGCTTTGTACATACCAGTGTAATATGCTTCATCCCACGGCTCGATTGAGCTGCTACGTGCAAAACTCTCGAGCATTTTCAACTCCTGCACAGCCTCCAAGATTTAGCCAAAGTGCTGAAGCCTTTGCCAAGAACGGAACCTCGTTTGCTTTAGATTGCGTTTGCGATAAAAGATCGTGCAGGAAAGATTGGACAACTTCGGAAGATCCTGCCATAGTTGGAGCAGTTGCAAATTCAGCATATGAATTGAATCCTATAAGCTGGAAAAAGAGACATCAGCTGGAGTAAGAAGCTGATGAGCATACCTGGGCAAGTTCATGCCTGGATTCAATTAGCTTATCCAGGACCAAAAGGTTGTTCTTCGCAGTACTGTGACTGCAAATATAGACTTCTTTCCTGATCTGTATGTAGCATGCCTTGATCAGTGATGCACTATTTACAAAGAGAGCTCACCTCAGCATCTGGTACCCACTTGAGCACACTCGAAACAACTCCAGCATCGGTGCTTATACGTAGCCCAGTGTCTTCGCTCTTACTTTTCCAGCTTTTCGAATGGCTGCGTATCGGTTGCATTAAGTGGTGCAAACTTTCCGGTACTTTTGATGCTGGGAAAACATCGACATGGCCCTGAGATAGCTGCATATTTTCTGTAAACCTGTTCGTTACACGTCAAGTGCCAGTTTACAAGAAAATGCAAGCTTACTCTCTTCCTAGTCGCGTAATCTCAAGGTTCAACTCATTCACACGCTCCATCTTTTCTGAAATTTATGAGCCTGATGTCTGTTTAAAGCAAATTCTTGAGCTTACCAGGAGGTAGATGGATTCCACCCCTTTCAAAATCAATTCTTAAGGTTTTTGCAGCTCTCTTGGCTTCTTCCGTAGTCAAAGCATCCGAGCTCTCAACATGGACGACGGCGTCATAGAGAGATTTGTGAGTGTTAAGGTACTGCAAAACATCTATGAGTAACTCTGGTCCGTCTTTGAGAAGCAACTTACATGCAAATATTTGTACAATTTCAACGATGCGGCATTCGCTTCGTCCACATACTCCCTGCTCGTGGAAACGAGGAAGATGAGCACGAGATTGAAAACATTTCAAGGGCGCAGCACCTTACTTGTCAGGATGAGTATTTCTACAGAGCTCCGCAGCATCAACAACCATGCACACCTGATCCAAAACAAAAGCAGAAGGAACTAAACTAGAAAGCAATGCCAGGAGCTTACAGTGTTGGAGATGTCATCCATACACTTGATGGTCTCCATGGACGGCGGAAGCTCTTTGACACGCGCAATGAGATCCTCAGACCTGTTACAAAAGAAAAAAAAACCTCCATTTTAGCAAAAACCGCAGAAACAATCGCTGAAAACTCACTTCGCAATCGCTGTTTCAGCAAATGCACGAAATCCCTTGGCAGTTTTCAAAGCTTCATATCCATACAATCCCACCGGATTCTTTCTCAGGAGCTCGTGTGCATCCCTTCCATCGTCGGGCGATACCACGCATTCCAACTCAGCCACAGACGAGGAGCAAGGATCCTGCCGCTGCTTCGATCCATGGCCGGCAATGTAGCGCCTGGATTGCGACCACAAGCGCGAGGAATTCCGCCTCGCAGCTCCCCAGCGCAGCATCACCGCCCGCTTCCAACCCTAAAACCCTAAATATAATTTAAATATAATCAAGATTAAATCCAACTCCATAGCTATTCACATAGCTAAGCTTGCATAGATATCACTCATGAGTATGTAATCAGCTGAGTCTTTGCCACCAGCAGCCACTAGTGCATCAAATGCAATCCTTGCAATTCTGAGGTTTCTCCATTTCTTGCAAGAACCCAGCAAAGTCCTCCAGATGACAGCATCAGCTCCAGTTCCTGGAATGCTCTGGACAAGAGCCAGTGCTTCCTCTAGCATGTTGGATCTGCCCAGCAAATCAACCATGCAATTGTAGTGACTCCCATCCAAGCTCTCAATCCCACACTCTTGGGCCATGAATTCAAAGTACAGCTTCCCTTCCCTCACCAGGCCCATATGACTACAAGCCATCAAAATGCAGGTGAGTGTGATGCCATTCATCTGAACACCACCATCTCTAATCTGCTCTGCAAGAGCAAACACCTGTGAGTAATTTCCATTTGAGCTGTACCCTGCTATCAAGGTGTTCCATGATATTATGTCTGGGGAGCTCATGCTGTTGAAGATCTCCTCAGCCCTTCTCGTGCTACCACATTTCATGTAGAAATCCACAAGTGCAGTTGCAACCACTTGATCTTGCTCTAATCCAGCTCTGCAAATTCTGATGTGGATTTGTTGCCCAGCTGATAGTGTGGCTAAGGATTCACAGGCCTTGAGTGCAGTAACATAGGTGAATGTGTCTGGTTCACAGTCCATTCTAGCAAATACTTCCAAAGCTAGCAAGCTTTCCCCATTCTCTGTGTAACCAAGTATCAAGGAAGTCCATGTTACAACATCTGGATGGGGTATCTTATCAAATATTTCTCTGGCATTTGCCATGCACCCACATTTGCTATACATGTCTAGCAAGGTGGTGGAGATGGATTTATCAGATTCCAAACCACTTGCTTGGACTTTTTTGTGGATCAAAATACCCTTTTCAAGGCAAAACTGCTTCTGTGATTTGTTCTCACTTGCCAGATTCCCGCATGCTTTGAGTGCACTGATATATGTCACAGAGCTTGGTTCACAACCAAGATCAAAGAAAAGCTCAATGGCTCTAGCGCTTTCAGCATTCTCGGCATATCCCAGGATCAGAGAATTGCATGCAACCACGTCTCGATCGATAGTTCTATCAAAAACGTTTTTCGCGATTTCTAAGCTGCCACACTTGCAATACATGTCTATCAACATGTTTGCCACAATCACATTGGATTCTAAGCCCCGGGCTCTGATTGTTTTATGAATTGCAAGTCCCTTTTCAAGGTAAAACTTCTTTGATTTTGAATCTTTGGCCAAAAGCCCGCATGCCTTAAGCACAGCCACAAAGGTGACATAGCTGGGCTCACAATCCATGTAGTTAACGTATATATTTAATGCTACAAAACTCTCCCCATTCTCAACATATCCCCAGATGAGAGAGTTCCAAGTCACAACATTTCTATGCTTCATTGTATCAAAAACTTTCCTAGCAAGAAACATGGCTCCACACTTGCTATACATGTCTATCAAAGCGCTAGCCACAACTATATCACCCCCAAATCCAAGTTTGCTTGCTTGTTTGTGGATCAACATCCCCCTCCCGAGACAAACTTCCTTTTGGTACTCACTCTCACAAGCCAAACTCTTGCATGCCGTGAGCGCTCCAACAAAGCTCACAGAGCTGGGATCACAGTCCATGCTCGCAAAGAGTTCCAAAGCACGCAAGCTTTGCCCGTTTGCGGCATATCCAAGAATGAGCGAGTTCCAGGAAATATGATCTCGTCGGCTAATCTTATCAAAAACATCTTGAGCAATTTTCATGTTTCCACACTTGCCATACATGTCCACCAAAGTATTTGCCACAACTACATTAGATTCCAGCCTTTTAGCTTTTACTTTCTTATGGATCTCGATTCCCCTCTCTAGGAAAAAGGTCTTGTCTTTGGATTCTTGAGCCAAGCAACCCAAGGCCTTGAGCACAGCCACGAAAGTGAAAGAATCTGGCTCGCAATCCATCTCATTGAAGAGATTCAAAGCTCTCGAGCTCTCTCCATTCTCGACGTATCCCAGGATGAGCGACGTCCATGCAACAACATCCCGGTGGATCATCCCATCAAAAACTTCTTGCGCCAGGATCATACTCGAGAAAATGCCGTACATTTTGATGAGCGCCGCGGCTATGTACTTGTTGGTGTGAAATCCCGCAGCAAATGCCTCTTGGTGGAGAAACTTCCCATTTGCCAAGTCCCGGCATTTTCTGAGAGACACGACAATCTCCAAAGCAGTCTTTAGCTTGATGTGTGTTCTAGCTCGCTTTGGATTTGCAGCTTCCGAGTTTGTGGTACTCCGCGAAAATTCTGGATTTGCAACTTTTAAGTTTGTGATGCTCCGTGAAAATTTTGGATTTGCAACTTCCAAGTTAGTGATGCTCCTTGGAGTAGCCTAGAAAAATCACGTTAGAATATAATCTCTTCCTCCAAATTGTCTTACTCTAGATTCGAGGAGCATACTTTTAACTTTGCATTTACTCCTTAGGGCTTTTCTAGGGTTTATGGAATAGTTTTAACTTTGAATGTACCCGCGAACTCCTTAGGGCTTCCCTAGGAGACGATCCACAACGGGCTAAGCGTGAGCGCAGCGAAGACAGGTCCGATCGCTCCATTGCATCGTCCAAGATCGCAATGGCGGCCGTGGCCGCGGCCTCAGCACACCAAGTCCCTTGCTGCCGTGAGGATCGCTGCCACCGCCGCTCTTGAAGATGACAAGCTGCGAGAGGAATGCGGCGTTCTTGGGATGCTCCAGGCGTGGGGAGAGGGCGAGGGCAGCGCCTCCATTGCCGATCTCCTACCAGGCATTGAGCAGGCTATTGGAGGGCGCCGGGATTGTGACTTGCGACGAGCAGGGATTCTTTCACGAGGTGAAAGGATTGGGGCTCGTCTCCAAGGTCTTACAATGTTCGTGAGCTTCTCAAGAGCAATGCGAGCTCCATCGGTCACGTAAGACATGGCACGGCAGGGATGTCGAGCCTGGCGAACGTCCAGCCCTTTGGGATGGATCTGGGCGATGGAAAGATGCTATGGATAGCTCACAATGGAAACATCGTCAACTATGAGGAGCTGAGATCCAAGCTAGAAGCCAAAGGCTGTGAGTTCCACAGCTCCTCCGACTCGGAACTGATCCTCCACCTGGCGAGGAGGCGCCGCTGCTGGGAAAGATCTGCTTGGCTTGCGAGCAGCTAGACGGAGCTTTCAGCTTGATCTTCATGACTTCGGAGATGGTGGTGGCGGTGAGGGATCCTCGCGGCTTTCAGCCGCTGGTGCACGGTGGTTTTCGCGTCGGAGACTTGCGCCTTCAATCTTATCCACGCCAGGTACGAGAGGGAAGTCGAGCCGGGGGAAGTTTTGGTGGCGACCAAGTCGGAGAATGGCCGCGGCAGCGTGAACGTAGAACATTTCCACGAGCTCGAGAAGGCCGAGTCTCTGAAGCTGTGCTTGTTCGAGCTCTTCTACTTGTCCTGGGCGGATTCCTTCCTCTTTGGAACCTCACCAGATACAGGCTTGGCGAGCTTCCAGCCGAGGATTTCCCAGTGGACTGTGACTTCGCCATGGCGATGCCAGATTCCGGGATGGTGTCGCTGCTCGGCTACGCGAGCAAGCTCGGGATTCCAATCCAGCAGGCGCTCATCCGGTCGCACGACTCGTCTCGGACTTTCATCCAGCCGCGAGAAGTTGACCGGAAGCGCAAGGTTTTGATGAAGCTGGCTCCGGTTCCGGAGATCCTGGAAGGCAAGAAGGTGGTCGTGGTGGACGACTCCATCGTTCGCGGGACAACTTCCAGGATCATCGTCGAGATCTTGCGGTCGGCTGGAGCGAGAGAAGTTCACTTGAGGATCCCGAGTCCTCCGGTGATCGACAGCTGCTACTACGGAGTTGACACTCCCACAAAGGAGGAGCTGCTGCTGTTTAAGATGTCGCAAGCCGAGGCTTGCGAGTACATTGGAGCCGACTCGCTCGAGTTCTTGTCGCTGGAGAGGATCAAAGCAAAGATAGGGAATGGCCGCCATTTTTGCTATGTGTGCTTCACTGGGTGTCACATTGGGTGCTCCAAACGAGCTGTGGAATTGGCAGTTTGATCTTGGGGAGGGGGAGAGAGAGAGAGAGAGAGAGAGAGCTCGAGCTCGCTCTAAGTAAAGGAACTTGTTTCCCGCCATTTTGTTTTGTTCTAGGTCTAGGGCTTTTGTTTTGGCGCCGGGAGGTAAGGGATGAATCGCGCTCTCCATGGATGAGCAATCGGCGCGTGCTTTGATCCAGGCATGGCGGATTCGTCCTCCGAGGCGGGGATTATCGAGCAGCTGCGAGCGCTCGTTTCGGATCTGTCGCTCATGGTGAGATGACGTTTTCTCTCTGTTTCACTTCTTCGTGTGTTTCTAGGTCTCGTATAAGTGGCTGAGCAGGAAGTTTCTTATTTCATCCAATGTGGCAAAACGGTATGCTCGTCCTCTCCTATTTGGTTCTTTTTTTTTTTTTATCTTCAAAGCATTTGCAGGCTGCTCTACAAGTTTGTAGAAAAATACGGGGACGGCTTGGAAGTCTTGTACTCTGTTTCGGGATGGACTCAAAGCCAACCTCGGAGTTATTCTGTTAAAGTAGTCAAGCTATCGCAGCTTGAAGGTCTACCGATTTTGACAGTTCTTCTCTGCTCTGGAAATGACTTTCGAATTTTTTTCTTGATAGGAGCCAAAGCTCTTCTCGCGGAAGGGTCCTCCGTTCACATCTACAGCATCCAAGCTTCTGTCCCTAGAGATCCAGCGCTGGTGTGGAGTCCAGACAACGTCCAAGCCGAGGAGTTTTTTAACCAGCCTCTCGATGCTGTTAATTGCCTTCGTGATAACAGGTACGTATGAAAAAGCTCGTAGTGGCCGATGATACCATCCTTTTATGTCAGGTTTAGCGGAGTATCATGTTCTCTCGTGAAACGGGATAACAAAGGAACAGTTTCCAGTTCTGCTCCAGCCTCTGAAAAACCATCATTACCGCTGCCGCCTAAACCAGCTCTTATGAAGAATGAGACGAGCATTGCCGCGAAAGCTTCAAATGGTGAAACAAGTAATCCGTCAGGAAGTTCAAAGCAGGCGAACTCTACAAGGGGTGACAAAGGTAACGTCAGTGCAGGGACGGTAAAACAAGAAAATGGTGAAGGAAGGCGCGATGCAAACAAGCGCAAGGAAGGGAGTACTACAGCGCAAGGAAGCTCGATAGCCAACTTATGGGGGCGTCCATCAAACAATTCAAAGGCAAGTCCACCAAAGAATGATTCTCCTCAAAAGCCATTACCCGGTGAGTGTGTGAGTTTGTTCTTTCTGCCGCGGTTATCTGATTTACTTTCTTATAGGAAATGCCGATGCTTGCATAAATGCACTGGAAGAGCATGAAAACGGTGGTAGCAGTGACGACGATATTACAAACTTTCGCCGCCTCAGGCGGGGTGGACAGAAGCGAAGGGTTGTTCTCGACGACGAAGTGTCAGAGCTCAAGGAAGAAGAAGCAGCTTCGGAAGAAAAGGAAGAGGAAGAAGAAGAACAAGTCATCAGCCTCATCTCTCCAGAGAAGAAAATCGAAGAGACGAAGCACGAAGATAAAGCATCAAATTCAAACTCGAGGAGCGGTGACGATAAACGCATGGACCCCAAAAAGAAGAGAAAAGTCCTCAGAACACGCATTGATGAGCGAGGACGCGAAGGTATGGGCTTCCATCGTTTCTCCGTTTTATTATCGCAAAGCTGATCGATGGATTTGCAGTGACCGAGGTTGTCTGGGATACGGAAGAACCCGAAAGCTCGAAGATAGAAGAGATAGAAAAGGTGAAAGCTCCCAACAAAACTGCTGCTCCACCACCGCCACCTCCAGCAAGCAAGCATCCTGCTTCCAAGGCCTCCACCAGCAAAGTTTCCACAAAACCTTCGTCCAAGCCGGGCAAAAAAGCCGCTTGCGGTCCTCAACAAGGCAGCATAACTTCGTTCTTCAAGAAAAAGTGAGCTTCAAACGCTTTGTCTAATGGTTTTATTCCAGAATGATCTCTCTGGAGACATCCACAGCTTCTGAGCTAAATCTTATTCTCCTCCAAACCAGTGCTGGTGGAATGAAGAAAAAAAAAAGGAAAACTAAGAGTTAAAGATCAAACAATGGGCTCCATCCAAGTCGCGTGCTTCAAGCTCACTCTGGAACTATAAAATCAAGTTATTCCTCTATCAAATCGACCGCCACCTTTTCGGGGTTGTGTGTGCCAGCTGATAACTTATAAGAGAATCTGAGAGAAAAACAAAAGAAAGTACTTCGAAAGGATTACATCTAATGAGAATCTCGCTCTTTGATCATATAAAACCTTGGTTGACGATGTTTCAATTCTGTCAACTTGAGTAATTGATGACAGCCTTGAAATGTATGTGCTGTTTGTTCTTATCACACAGCACAGAATTTGGCATTGATTCCGGAATGGGCTTTTCTAGAAATCGCTCCAGAAAAGCATAGCAAAAATTTGATGATCTCATTTGAAAGATCGTCAAATCAATACCTTGAGGAAACAAAGTATTCGTCTCATAGAAAACTCGTGAACGGGATCCTGACGAATCGAAGCTGCTCCAACGCCGCCATCGCTCGATCGCTATTCCCAGATTTCGCGTATCGTCGTGGCGCGGTTTGGACCGTTAGATCTTGATCCTGGATCCGACGGCATCGCGTATATCTCCTCGGCGATGGAATATTAGGGTTCTTGCGCGGCATGCCGCCGGGGTGCTCGAGTCGCAATGTGGGATCCATGACGCTCCCTGGCGATGGATTTCGCCGGGGAGAAGCTGAGAAGCTGAATCGCGAGTGATAATCTCTGTGCTCGAGCGAATTCGTTGTGATTTCTGGCCGCAATGGAGCAGCATTCGTGGAAATATTTTCTTCTTCTCGGGGTCTTGCTCGTCTCGGCCGCGGCCGAGACGGATCCAGTCGACGCCGAGGCGCTGCAATCGTTCCAGAAGGGCTTGAGCAACGGGGAGATTCTCCAGTGGAGCGGCACCGATCCGTGCGGCGCGGCGTGGAAGCACGTCCAGTGTCGGGGGAAATCTGTGACAGGGATCGATGTGGCGTTTCTGGGGCTCCAGGGGATCGTCTCTCCATCGCTCAACCGGCTCTCCAATCTCGAGTACCTCGGGATGCAAGGGAACGCTCTATCTGGATCCATGCCCTCGCTTGCCGGGATGGCCAACCTCAAGATCGCCTACTTCGACAACAACGATTTCTCCTCCATCCCGGGGGATTTCTTCGCAGGCCTCGAATCCCTCGAGGCGATCTACCTCGACAACAATCCTCTCAACGGCACGGCCGGATGGGAGCTCCCGGTGGATATTTCGCACCTGGGAGCTCTTGCGAACCTCTCCCTCACGAACTCCAGCGTCGTGGGGAGCATCCCAGCGTTCCTGGGAGCGATGCCGCATCTCAAGGTCTTGAATCTCGCCTACAATCGCCTCACCGGTGGGATCCCTCCCTCGTTTGTAAGTTCCAATCTCGTCCAGCTCCAGGCCAACAACATGCAAGGCCCGGTTCTCACAGGCCCGATCGACGCTGTGGGCGGCATGGGATCGCTCGTCCAGCTATGGCTCCAGGTGAACGAGATCGCTGGAACCATCCCACCGGGGCTGGGCAACGCGCTCGCGCTCCAGGATCTCAAGCTCAACGACAATCGCCTCACAGGACCCATTCCAGCGAGCTTGGCAGAGCTTCCACTCGCGATCCTTTCAGTGGACAACAACGAGCTCATCGGTGTTCTTCCGGCCTTCAAGCCCGCGACCAAGGTCCTCGCTACTGGGAATAACTTCTGCCAGGCGGTCCCGGGGCTGCGATGCTCTCACGACGTGGAGACGCTGCTCGAGTTTATCGGGGAGTTTGGCTACCCGGCATCGATCGTCTCGTCGTGGAAGGGCGACGATCCGTGTCTCTGGACGGGGATCGTCTGTGACTCGGGGAAGCGGGTGTCGGTGATCGATCTCGCGGGGAGCCAGCTCGTGGGTCGGCTCTCTCCGGCGCTGGTGAATCTCACGGCGCTCACGGTGCTGAGGCTCAACGGGAACAACATCAGTGGCGGCATTCCTCCGGTGCTCACCAGCATGAAGTCGCTCCAGCAAGTCGACTTACACAACAATAACCTGTCTGGCGATCTTCCGCAGTTCCCCGAGTCCGTGAAGACGAATTTCCAGGGGAATCCTTTGCTGCTCCAGAGCTTGCCACCCGTGACTTCTCCTCCAGTTGCTCCTGCGCAGCCGTCTGGTTCTTCTGGCGGGGGTGGTGGTGCTAAGAACACGAACACCACGGTGGCGAACAATGCGACGGCGGCGGAGGTTTTGCCGAGGAGCCACCACAATTCCGTGAAAGCTGGACTGATTGCGGGGCCGGTGGTGGGAGCGGTCTCTCTGCTCGCCATTGGGCTCGCGCTTTCCTTCCTGTTCTACAAGAGGTCCGAGAAGCGGTTTGTGAGAGTCCAGGGCCCGACAATGGTGGTGCATCCGAGGGACTCAAGCTCCGAGGACATTGTGAAGATCATCGTTCCTGGCGGTGCCGGCAACAACGTGAACTCACGCAGCCTTGTGGAGACGGCGTCCGTCAACTCCAACGGGACCGACGTCCAAGTTGTGGAGGCTGGGAACCTGGTGATCTCGATCCACGTCCTGCGAAACGCTACACGAAACTTTAGCGAGGAGACTGTTCTCGGCCGGGGAGGATTCGGGGCGGTGTACAGGGGGCAATTGGACGACGGCACCAACATAGCTGTGAAGCGAATGGAGGCTTCATCCGTGGTGAGCAGCAAGGGCGTCAGCGAGTTCCATGCCGAGATAGCTGTTCTAAGCAAGGTCAGGCACCGTCACCTGGTGGCTCTTCTCGGGTACTGCATCGACGGCAACGAGAAGCTTCTCGTGTACGAGTATCTCCCGCAGGGTGCACTGAGCCACCATCTCTTCGAGTACCGGCGGATGAGACTCAAGCCTCTGGAGTGGAAGCGGCGGCTGGCAATTGCTCTGGACGTTGCCCGTGGGATGGAGTACCTCCACGGCCTGGCATACAAGAGTTTCATCCACCGGGACCTTAAGCCGTCGAACATCCTGCTGGACGATGATCTCCGCGCAAAGGTGGCGGACTTTGGCCTGGTGAAGCTGGCACCCGAGGGGAAATACTCGGTGGAGACGAGGCTGGCGGGGACGTTTGGCTACCTGGCCCCGGAGTACGCAGGTAAAAGGCAGGCTCTTGTTTGGATTTCTTGCTTCTGATGACAAGTTGTTTACAGTGACCGGGAGGGTGACAACCAAAGCCGATGTTTTCAGCTTCGGGGTGGTGCTCCTGGAGCTGATAAGCGGGCGGCGCGCGCTGGACGAGTCCCAGCCGGAGGAAAACATGCATCTGGTGACCTGGTACCGGCGGATAACGAGCTCCAGCAGCAAGGAGTCGCTGCTGCGGATCATCGACCCGGTGCTCGGGGTGGGCGACGTGACCGGCGACGTCTTCCACAGCGTGTACACGGTCTCGGAGCTGGCGCGGCACTGCACGGCGCGGGAGCCGTATCAGCGCCCCGACATGGGCCACGCAGTGAGCGTGCTGTCGCCGCTGGTGGATCAGTGGAAGCCGGCGGACCAGGACGGGGAGGAGAGCGCGGGCATCGACCTGAGCTTGACGCTGCCCCAGGCGCTCAAGAAGTGGCAGGCGTCCGAGGAGGACAGCAGCAGTGGCGCTGCGAGCCGGAGGATGCTGGACGACTACGACAGCCACGACAGCTTGCCGACGAGGCCGGCGGGATTCGCCGAGGCTTTCACTGCCGCCGATGGGCGATGATGGTCACAGGTTCGCTCGCTCTTCTTTCTTTACTTCTTTTTCTAGAGGACTTCTGGGAGGCCATCGCTGGGATCGAGATCACGAGCAGGGAAATCGAGATGGTTACAGGAAGGGATGAGACGATCAATCAAAACCGCAGGGAAAAACGCAGGAAAAAGAAGATCACAGGTCCCAAGCACGAGAGCTAAGGCTGACAGTGGAAGAGGGAAGAATCATGGTTGGCTCTTCGGGCTCTCCCCGAGGTGGAGTAAAATTCTCGCTCCCAAGGTAGTGTAAGTCTGCAAGAGTTTTATCTTTTTTTACCATCTCTTTATCCATCTTTTTTATCCATGTTATTCTATGTGATCAACTAGTCATCTAAAGTATGAAAATGTATAGATGTTCGCTCTAAACAGTGGTCATCCAATCACCCAGAAGATATATTTTAACTAAAGCTGTTTGGACAAGCTTCTATCCATCCTCTGCTCATTTTTTAGTATCGTGGATGTCAACATCCATCCAGGCAGCCAGCGATTGTCACGGACAAAGAACCCCTTCTTTCATTTTTTTTGACGAGCTTTCCTTTGTCTCTGGCTCATGCCAGGACGTAAGCTAAGATTAACAAGCTAAACTATAACAAGGACGCACAGAAACCATGGCCGCTGGCTCCGCGACTAGATTTAAGCTAAATACGAAGCTATCTATCAACCGAGAGCTTAGAGAAGAGAACAAGAAGCTTAGTTCCAAACTAAGGACAAAGACGAGAAAACTCAACTCAAAAGCTGCCAAACTCCTTCGCTTAAGCGCGGGCGAGAGGTCTCTCGCTCGGCTTGATCCAATCCGTCATTATTGGAAGAAGTTCCCAACACCGAAAAGGGCGAGCGGGACACTGCTTTCCAGCTTGGAACACACATACTACACACTCACTCACACACACACACAATGCATACACACACACAGAGAGACAGGCCCGCCAGTCCGGTCCAATCCATAAAAAGAAGCAGGGGAAAAGAGACCAAACACTACACTGGACTGCACCACTGTGAAGAACCAGCCCAGACGAAAAGAAGAGAAAAAAAGACAAAGAAATGCGCCTAAAAGAATTGAATGCTCGGACAGACCTGGCGGCTTCTGGATAGCGAGATTCGACGATGGGATATATTCTCCGAGCGTGATTAGCAAGAGGAAGAAAAGCGCGCTTCATAAAGTCCGGGAGTGGAATAAACTGGCTCTGTGGTGGCCCTTGATAGGCGATCTTGTGCGTGATTGACGGGTTGACAAAGCGTTGCTCTGTGACAATCCAACAAACAGTGTATCAGAAAGGAATACTAGAGAGGAACAAGCTACTTACCGCGAGCTGGCCTTGCGCAGAGCCAGCACGACGATGGAAGTTCTTCCAAGAAAATAAGGACACACTCGTCCCTACAAACATCTGTAGAGAAAACATTAAAAAGTTAGCTGGCAAACACAGCCATTGTTCGAATGTTGATGGATAGAGGCCCGGAAAACATCCAGAGCGTCAGTGTACCTGCAACTCGGAACAAAACGAGCGGACAGCCGTGCACAGTGCTACATGCGATTCATAAAGGAAAAAGAGAGAACGAGAATCGAGTACCTCACAGATTTACGTGACTAAGTTGGACGAGTCGAATCGCCCTACATGAGAAAGCCTGAACTCTCCCAGCCACCTTGTTTTGACAGATAGATCCGTGTCGCCTCTTTGAGAGTCTGCGACTTCAAGAGCCCCTCTGCGCGAGTTCGACCTGACGGATGCGTGGAGATGTACTGGACATACTCGGGGAGTTTCTGCAGCTCTCCCAGCTTGAGATAAACTCCTGGAGCAATTCTGGGATCGTAGCCAGCCGCAGCCATGACTAGAGCTCCGATATGGTCGGCTTCAATCTCCATCCTAACGGGGAAATGCAAAAAGTGTTAAACAAAACTTAAACAAAACGGATTCTTACTTTCTAGAGAACGGAAGCCTCAGCAAGAGATCGGAAGCTGGGCCGACGATGTTGGGAGCCTGGACAACGACTAGGAACAGCAACTCGATGAAGCCAATGAAGATGCTTCGTGTAAGCATCTCTCCAGTGTGCCTGGCAATTGCGTGGCCAACCTGCACGAAATCGCACGATAAACAAACACCAAAACTTGAGAACCTGGGGGAGGAGCTCACCTCATGTCCGAGGACCGTCGCTAGTTCCTCGTCGTGAGGAAACGCCTTCAAGAGCCCCGTGAAGACGATGATCTTACCACCCGGCAAGCATGCAGCGTTCACCACGTTGGCATCCACCACAACGATCTCCCACTTGAAGTGATCGACGTGCTGCGTTTGAGCCTTGCGTCCCTTTTCCTTGGCAGTCTTTCGGCAGTCCTCGACCCACACATCGTCCACCGCACTCTCGTTCTCACGGTACAGATCTTTCTCCCCAAGTTTCAGAAAAAACGATGGCTGTTCCACGTCCTCGGCTGGTCCTAGCACGTAATCTCGGCTCCTCGCGGAAGGCAGTTTCTTCGACACATCCGGAGTGTACTCCAGCTGATTTTTTCCAGTGGCATGAATCCCTTCCATCGCCGAGTTGATCGAGTTCTGAGCGATCCTGGCGACTCGAACGACAGCCGGGTGGTAAGGTGGCAAGATCCTGTTCTGGAATTGTTTCTTCATCTAAGGAAAAAAACGAAGGATCATAGTTAGAGAACAAAGTAGAAGAAAGAATTCACTTACATTGTTGAAAGTTGTCTCGCCAAGCATCGCTTCCATCTGCGGGGATATGAGAACCAGATGCTTCCGGTTCGTGTATGGAACCACCTCCAAATGGGTGTAGTAGAAGTAAACCATGAAGCCACCGATGCAGCCAGCCACGAGAAGGAATTTCTGAGAGACACCACCTCCTGCATTGGCCCATCCTCTCATCCCTCCCAGGCTCCTTTGCTCGAAATGCCGGACACCATATCGATCGACGTAGTAGGACCTCTGGCTGAGCTTTCTACAATCCAAGCCAGCGCTCTCGATGAAGAAACTCTTGGAAGAAAAATTCCTGCGCGGATTTCCCTGTAAGAGGCCATCTAGATAGGAATCGATGGCGCCGGACCGCGATCGCGGCTTGCCAGCGCTCGGCGATGGCGAAATGGAGCTGATCGCGAGCTTGCCGCCGAAGCGCCACCATACCTGGCGGATGATCCCCATCGCCGCCGGGCGCTTGCTCTAGAAATCGCCCTAAAATAGTTTTTGAAACGTAAGAAATTAAAAGCTTTTGCACTGCCCGGGAATCGAACCGGTTACTTCACAGACCAAACAAAATGTAAAAACAACAATTGCACTGCCCGGGAATCGAACCCGGGTCTGTTCCGTGGCAGGGAACTATTCTACCACTAGACCAGCAGTGCTGGGGATGTAAACCTATTCTCATGGATTTTTCTCGGGGTTATGGGTGAAGGTTAAGGGTTTAAGGTGGTTTAGGGTTCTATGCTTGTGGAGGTTTATGGCTTCCAGGAGACTGGCAGCGGCATTGCGATCTCACGCGCGGATCTTCGAGAATGTGAGTAGATTCTCGTCTAATCACAGGGGATTCTTCTCGGCCAGCGCCAGAGAGCCAGCATTCTATCTCGATCGCGCAGGAGGGTTTTTTCTGTTCGTGCGGCATCACACCGATGGCGCTGTGACGCAGTCGGTGTTTAGCCCCTTCAAATCCGTGAGGCTGGGGAAGCAAAAGGGGCACCTGTGGCGGACGCGCAAGACACTGTCGCGGGAGACGCAGCTGGTTGTGAGCGATCTGGTGAGGCACAAGAGCGAGCCGGAGAGGGTGAGCAGCATCATCAAGACCAAGGTGTCGCGGCTGCTCAAGCTCGATCTATTTGGAGCGCTGCGGGAGCTCCAGCGGCAGCTAGAAGGCGAGCTCGCTCTCAAGGTGAGTATTTGCATTGTCCTTCCTTCTATCTTAGCTTGTTCTTCCTGGAACTTACCGATCGCTTCTCATTGTTTTTCCCTTCTATCTTTTGAGCTTGTACTTCTTGATTGCTTCTCTGGTTTCTCTCTCCTATCTTAAGTTTTTGAGCTTGTTCTTCCTGGACTACTACTCGATCGATCGCTCATTCTCATCACCTTTGACACTTTCTTCCCAGGTGTTCTACGAGATCAAAAAGGAGGAGTGGTACACGCCCGACATCCTGCAGTACGCAAAGATGCTGGGCTGCCTCGCGAAGGCAGGGCTGACATCGCAAGCCGAGAAGCTGTTCGAGGAGATGCAGAGCGTGGACGGGTTGGAGCCGGAGCTCAACACGTACACGGAGTACCTGCGCTCGCTCATCTTCTCGAGGCAAGTGGACAAGGTCCATGCGACGGTGCGCGAGATGAAAGAGCAGGGGTGTCCGCCCGACTTGGTGGTGTACAAGGTGCTGTGGGTGGGCCTCAACGCGGTGCACAAGCCCAAGGACGCCGAGTTTTACAGGAATGAATTGCTCGAGGCCCAGACTCGCAGGCAGCATGAGCGGCTGCCAGTGGAGGAGATTGAAGTGTAAGGGCACCCTGTAATTCGTAGAGCAAACTATAACTGAAGACAACCTTGTGACAACCGAAGTCACTCTAAGTCAACTGAAGACAACGAAAGACAAACAAAAAACCAAACTAGTCCGCTCAGGGGTGACATTTTTTTCCAATCTTTGCTATAAAATATTCACTAGCATCTTCCTGGCTATGCAGCTTGTCTGAATAGCTGTCTGTGCAGGGGTGGCATTTTTTTTCCAATGTGTGATGATGCAAAGGAGTGTGCAATGCTCCTGGACACAAG